GAGAAGGGAAGAGGGAAGATGGGAGAAGAATTGGCCGGGGGTTGGGGCGCAAAGGGCCCGGGGGGTTCCGACCGGGAGGCAGGAAGAGGGATGACGAGCCTGTAAGTTTTTTAGGAAGTGTCTAGGAAGTGTCTAGGAAGTTCCGACGACAGGAGGCAGGAGAGGATGACGAGCTTGAAGTGTCTAGGAAGTGTCTTGGAAGTGTCTAGGAAGTACCGACGACAGGAGGCAGGAGAGAATGACGAGCTTGAAGTGTCTAGGAAGTGTCTAGGAAGTGTCTAGGAAGTACCGACGACAGGAGGCAGGAGAGAATGACGAGCTTGAAGTGTCTAGGAAGTGTCTTGGAAGTGTCTAGGAAGTACCGACGACAGGAGGCAGGAGAGGATGACGAGCTTGAAGTGTCTAGGAAGTGTCTTGGAAGTGTCTAGGAAGTACCGACGACAGGAGGCAGGAGAGGATGACGAGCTTGAAGTTCTTGTTGCGGTCGACCAGTCCGCCGAGCCCGATCCCGCCCAGCACGATGGCGAGCTGGAAGCCCGCGCCGGCGAGGTCGATCTGCATCCCTGCAGCGCGAGGCACTCGCAGCCGGTGAGAAGAGGCGCGGCCAAGCCCTCCCCTTGCCCAGCCCTCCCCTTGCCCAGCCCTCCCCTTGCCCAGCCCTCCCCTTGCCCAGCCCTCCCCTTGCCCAGCCTCCCCTTGCCCAGCCTTCCCCTTCCCTTGGCGGGGCTCGCGCCTGCCGTCCATCAGCCCAGCCCGCGCGAGGGCTAGGGCTAGGGTTAGGGTTAGGGTTAGGGTTAGGGTTAGGGTTGGCGCGTGCCGTCCATCAGCCCAGCCCGCGCGAGGGCGGGCGCGGTGAAGGCCGAGACGACGTTCGTGCAGCCGATCGACGCGACGAAAGAGGCGGTCGCGACGCCGAAGCCGGGAGAGCGGAGGAGGGCGAGTGCCTTGCGCGGGTACTCGAGGCGCGGAGCGGGCGGCGGCGCGACGGCGAGCTCGGCGGCGGCGGCGGCGGCCGAGGCGGACGGCGGCGTCTCTGGCCTGTCCCGGAAGAGGAGGGCTGTGGCGGCGGCGGCGGCGATCGAGACGCAGGCGAGTACGTCGAAGTAGGCGTGCATGCCCTCGGGCGAGTTTGCCATGAGGCCTCCGACGATGAAGGCGGTGGCGATCCCGACCTGGTTGAAGTTGATCGCCGTGGCGGTGGCGAGCGCCCGCTCGGAGGAGCCGAACCAGGTGGCGGACAGGAGCGGCGGAGTGCACTGAAAAAAGGGCTGCGCCATGCCAACCAGGATGGTGCCCGCAACCTCCCAGCCGTACCCGGGCATGACCTCTATCGCGGGCTCCACGAATGGGATGCCCGAGCGGAGCAGGCAGCCGCCCGCCATCATCGTCGCCGCCCCCGTCACAACCTTTTTGAGGCCGAGGCGCGCGGCGATGTCGGTGAAGAGGAAGCAGGACACCACGTTGGAGGCGAGGAAGATGTCGATCAGCTCCGCAGCGTCGTGCCCCTCGAGCGTCATCCACTCGGACGGCACTGCCACCGTGGCGAAGCACGTCCAGTCGCTCAGCAGAGCCAGCATCGAGAGGATGCCGAGCTGCACCCAGCGATGCGGATCGAGCGCCAGCGGCACAGAGCCAACCTTGCTCGCGCTGCACACGGGCGGCGGTCGCCTCCTTCGAGGCGCGAGCGGCGGGCGCGCAAACGGCAGCGCTTTCCTCTGCAGGGCCTGGAGGCCGCTGACAGCTGGCTCGGCATTCGACAACCGCAGCGGCGTGACGCGAGCTGTGGCGGCCAGCCGCGGCGTCGCCGCGCTATAGCCCGATGCGAACGGCAGTAGTAGGCCAAGCATCAAATTTCGAGCAGTGCTGATTAGTGCAGGGCTGTGAGTGCCTGTGGTGAACCTTGCGAGGTCGCCTCGCATGGTGCGCTGAATGACTGAGCAGAAAAAATTCTCTTGGCGCCAAAAGGCTGCGTATCAACATCTGTCCTCGACCCAGCCCTAGCTTGGGATGTCCGTTGTATTTATTTATTTATATCAACATCGTGCCGTCCTCCCATCCATCCCTTGGCTTGTCTCGTGCAAGCCCCGCAGAGGTGCGGGCGAGAGGGCGGCCCGAGCCCGAAAGGGCCCGCCCTCGGCCTTGCTCTTGCACATGGAAGCTCCCCCCCCCCCCCCCCCTGCTTCTGTCTCACAACAAAAGCGCACACAGTGCCCACCCTCCCCGACGCTCTGATACAGGTGATGCGCGGCGCTGTCTCTCAAGATGGAAGCAGGAAGCTTCCATCCCGGCGGTGGTTCGAATCCACATAAGCCGAAGGGTGAGGAGGGAGGCTGGCCTGAGGTATGAAGCTCACCCATTGTGGAAGTGAGAACTGCTCGACCCACCCCGGATCCTGCTGAACAAGCTCTCCAGCACCCCGGATCTGAATGGGGGATTCTTCCCAAACCTTGCTCAGCTGGTCCAGCACGGGCCGTAGGCCAGCCCTGGGCAAAGAAACCAGCACCTCATCAGTCTTCCCTGAGCGTCACAGCTCGGTGATCGCGCCGGCCGGACACCACTGAGACGGCCGTTCCGGCGGGGCATTTGAACGCGACCTTCGGGGGCAAAGACATGGTCTCTATGGCTCAGACTGGACTCCTCTTGGTCCCTTCTGATGCCCTAGGCCACACCTGGGCCTTACTTGGAGCTCTAGGGGGTGGGCAGGGTTTGCCCCAACCAACTGGCCCGAGGGACCTTATAACTGCAGAACGCCCCCTCTACTCGGAGCTAGTGGACACAGACGCGACACCACACGTCACGTACATACACGACTGCCTAATGTGTACTTTGCCCGGCTCCCTAGGGCCCCGTCCCCCGCCCGTCAGGGTGAACCTTCGGTCTGGTTCCGGTTTCTTGATCGCTTTCCTGACATGATGAGCTCCGGATGGGTGGCAGGGGGAGCGGCGGTCGCCTTTCTCGCCCGGAGAGGTCGGCAGCCGGTGCAGCGCGACGTGCACACTCCGTCAGCAGTAGAACCCGTCGCGTGCCTCGCGCAGCGCCAGCATGTCGGGTCGGCCCTGGTGCTTCCCCGGCAGCGACAGGTGCATGAGCGCCGGGAAGGCGCCCGCCTCGAGAGCGGCGGCGAGTGCATCGACGCCCTCCAAAGTGATGCCGTCGTTGCCCTCGACGTGCAGCCCCTCCAGCCTCGCAAAGCCGCCCGAGGCGCCGGCCTTTGCCATCGCCGCGACGGCGACGTCGTCGATGGAGGTCCAGGCGAGCTTGAGGTCCCGGAGCCGCGGCAGCGCGCCTTGAGCGCACGCGTCCACGAGGGTCACGGCGCTGCGACTACGGACCCCCTTGTTGCCGTCCAGCGAGAGCAGCTCCAGGCGGGGCAGCGCGCCCACAGTCGCGGCCGTCAGGAGCTCGCACACGCCCTCGTCGCCGACGCTCGTTCCGTAGAGATGAAGCTCCGTGAGCCACGGCAGCACGTTGGTCGGGTCCGCGCCGAGCGAGGACGCCAACGCCACGAGCACCGCGTCGCCGACCTCGTGATTACCAAAGTTGATGCTGCGCAGACGCGGGAGCGTGCCACCGGCGATTCCCTGGACAACCGTTCTCACCCCCGCGCGATCGAGCCGCGTGTTGTCGAGGTCGAGTGACCCCAGCCCGGAAAAGGAGCCGCACTCGATCAGGTGGCCGAGGGTCGCAGCATCGGCCGGCGTGAGGGCCGCGCCATTCTTGAAGCAGAGCGCGTCCGCCTTTTTGAGGCCAGCGGGTGAGCACTCAATCGGGAGGTGGCGGGCTTGCGGCTGAGAGCCAATCTTGCCGCACAGGGCGCCGGCACCAGCGTGCCACGCCTTGAGCGCCCGGAGCGTCGGGCGTGCTGCCCGCCAAACGACGCGGCAGGTTGAGGACAGGGCGACCGCGGCTGCCGGAAGGAGCGGGTCGGCCATCGGACCGAACGCAATCAGCAGCACGTCGTCGCGGCACCCAAGGTGTAGCAGCGCCGCAGAGGCCTCTGCCCGCTTCCGACGCAGCAGGGTCGCCTGCGCCTTGGGCAGCGCCTTACCGGGGGCCGCCGCCGTTGCAGCGACCTGGTCATACTCGCCGGCCGCGATGCGGATGCTGGCTTCGTCACCCATCTGTCACGTGGCCGCAGGCGGGTAAGTGAGATCGGGGTGCGCAAACGCAGGATGCACAGAACCCAGGTGCGCCTTGAGCCGCATGTTGGCTGAAGAGATGCGGTTGTCGAGCCGGTCGGTGAGGGCAAATGCTGCTGAGTAGACGTCACGAGCGAGGGCATGGGCGCCCTTCCGGTTCGCCTTTGCGCCAAAGGCCTTGAGCTCGTCGGCCACGACGGGGCCAGTGGACTCAGCCTTTCGCCATCTCGCCTCTGTGCGCAGCTGCTGCGTGGTCGACTGAGAGAGAGTGCCAGGTTCGAGGCCGCTCTTGGCGAGGGCGGCGGCGGCTTCGTCTCGCTTGCGTTCCACCATCTGACGCACCTTGGGAGGGAGCGACGGGTCTGCGAGCATAGTCTGGTACTCTGTCTTTGCGAGCGTCGCGTTTCCAGCCTTGAGATGCATGTTGGCAGTCGCCACACGCTCCTCGACGCGGCCACCGACGGCAAAGGCTGCCGCAAAGAGTGCAGCAGCGCAGCCGGTGGCGCCTGCAGCGTTTGCGCGCTTTGCCAAGGCGGCGAGCCGCTCTGCGAAAGGGAGGTCCGTCTCCATGGACAGCGGAGTCTTGCGATAGTCTCGGACGATAAAATCGCAGGTGGCAGAGACGGGCGCGACTGGACGACTGCTTGTCCGGGATGCGTGATGATCCCATCCGCTATGAACTCGTACGTCCTTGAGGCAAACTGCAGGGCTGGCATTTGAGCACTTGAGCAGAAGTGAGCGGCGAGAGTGCGGGTAGGAAAGGCCCGGGTCTGCGGCTGCGGCGACGCCCGCGCGAGAGGGGCTGGGCTGCGAGCGAGAGAGAGAGAGAGCCGCCGCTTGGTTGGGTGGGTGGGAGATGACGAAAACACTTGACGGTCGCAGCACGCAGCCTTCCGACTCGCGCCTCCGCCTCACTGGCACTATTGTAGCCCTGGCCGGTGTCGCTGGAGCCTCCTGGAGCTGGACGTCCTGTCCCCCCATGTAGGGCTGGGCCTGGGGGACGCGACGACGCGTCGAGTATCGACCTCTACTGCTTACCCAGCCTTCGAATGCGTAGTGGCTAGTGCGTACCGTACCCTGGCTAATGTGTGGTCCCAACAGCCACACCCACTGGTGTCCATCGCACAGAGTCAGAGACCGCACAGGAGGTCATCATGGTGAGGGTCGATGGGAGTGCCAACCCCACAAAGCACAATGTGCCTCAAGCCGTCGGCTCCAAATGGCTACTGTAAAAAACCAACGCCAACCCAGTACCGGCTAGACCGCAGTTGGCAGATGGCAGTTTAGACGGACACATCTCACATGACACATCACACATGAACATGATCATGAAAATTCACATGTTTCGATTCGCGAAACACACGAACCTAACCGAAAGCTCCAGAGAAACTGTACTCGCGACGAGCCACATGCGAGCTCGCCCTGAGACAGCCCAACCAGCAATGGAGCACAAAAGCAAGACCACACAAGACGTACCGCCCCGTCAGCGCATCTCGACTAAATGCGTGTGGCGGAGGAGCTAATATGCTACATGTCGGCGTTCGAGCCTGCGGGCTTCCTAGGCGCTTTTGGTGGGCATGAGCGACGAGACGCACGAGCGCACGCTCTGGGGCATGCAATCTGGGGAGGTATACCAGCTCTCCGCGTTGGCCTGCGAGTCCTTGATGGCGCCGAGGTCGGCGCCGGAGTGGGTCGCGTAGCTGCCGTGCTCGGTGTAGGCCGGCGCGGGCACCTTGTTTGCGCCCTTGATCATCGTGGAGGAGACGACGCCGTAGATCTCGGCCCACGCAGCCTTCAGCTCCGGCGTGAAGGCGTCGCCGAGCCCGAGAGCGAGCGTGTCGAGGAGGGCCTGGCCGACCACCTCGTAGTGGGCCGGCACGACGCCGTAGTCGACGTGCTTCTTCCCGAGGCCCTCGAGCACCGGCAGCAGAGCGGGTACGTCGTCGAGCATTGAGACGGCGACGCCGACCGTGTTCATCACCTTGAGCGCGTGCGACTTGAGCTTCGCCGACTCGTAGAGCTCGGGCGCGGGGACGTCCCGAAAGGAGAATAGCTCGAGCGCTCCGGGTGCAATCTCGAAGATCCGCTTGAAGAACAAGACTCCGACCGCCTGGGTGGATGGAGGCAAGCGTCGGTGAGGGCGAGGGCGGCGAGGGAGCGGCGGCGAGGGCAGCGGCGAGGGCGGAGTGGCAGGAAAGTGGCTGCGGTGGAGCCGCGCCTCGAGGCCAAGGCCCTCGACAGCACTCCACGAGGAGCGGAGCTCGGGGATGGTGTCGGGGAACGGCATCGATGGCGACACAACAGCAGGTCAGCGCCTACCACGACGCCGGCTTCGGCCCGAGAGCGTAAAGAGATCTCGTCCAGGTTCCCCCGTGAGCGTGATTGCGATGCGGGTTTTTCTCTTTTGGCGCCAGTCCGGACTGTTCTTCGCCTTCCTACATCCATATCAGGCCACTACTCGTTCGGGCTGCATCAACTAGAAAGAAAGAAAGAAACGAACGTCAAGTTATTTTGACCGCGGCAAGATGTATGTAAAGGGTGGCTAAGGGCTCTGCTCGAGGGCTCTGCCCGCAAGCAAGGCGCCCGCGTCGCAGACGCGTGGTACCATTGACAAATCCGGAATACCCCCACACGAACAAATAGCAAAATCCGAATACGTGGCGAGAGGGGGCGATCTGGCCCGTGCAAGCCTTCAGCTGGTGCCAAGAGGCCCAAGACATCCGTAAAGTTGAAACCAGGAACGTCCGCCAAATCCGTGCTTTCGGCGCAACTTGAGGGGAAGCCGCTGATCGAGCCCAGCGTCCCGCGGCCGCCTCCCGCGCAGCACCGCCGCTGGGGGACGACCTAGCTCCTAGGGGGCGACACGTCAATGTGGCTGCGTCACATGCGTGATCGAGCTTGAGGGAGGAGCTCCGCTAACGATTCGGCCGGCAACCCAACGCCGCCGCCCATACCCGCCACACCCACAAAGCGCCTGCTCTACTACCCCATACCGCCCTCTCTCCACTTTCCACTTGATCATGCCCGTCCGTGGATCGAATAGCACCATCACTGCCGCCGTGCGTCCTGACTTTTTGAACGTGGCAGCTAGACAGGGACTCGGTACTCGAGTACTTGTGACCCCCTTGTGCCTTGAGTGACCCCCCTGAGAGCCTGAGTGAGGAGCCGATTTTGATCGGAGGACAGAGCTTTTTGGTGTGACGGTGTTGGTGTGCGCAATAACGAGACAGGGGTGGTTGTTCTCTCTATCTCCCCTTCTAGCTCTTAGCATGAGCTGCGCCCTGTGTCCGACCCCTTCTGCGCAGCAACACCTTAAACTTTTAGGCCCTCCAAAACCAAATTCGGGGCTTTCGTCGGAGCGTAGCGGAGTGGGCCCCGAGTTTGAAAAGGGCGACGGACGCTTGCGTCCTAGCCTCCAACAACGCCTCCCCGGCGCAGAGGGGCCCCCGGAGGGATGCTCAATCGCTCCACGCCACGCCGCTTGCGGCGGTCCTAGGATTCCTATTTTGGGCTCAACCCAGTTTTCCGGAAAACAAAAAGGAAAACACCAGAGGGTCCCCAGCACTTTGCGTTTCCGGAAATTTCCAGGGAAAACAGAGGGTGTTTGGTGCTCCATTCTGGAAACTCGCGAGTTTCCCTGAGTCTGAGAGCTGGTCTGGGGCAAAATCTGAGGCAAAATTGAGGAAATCGACAAAATACCCAGGCGGTCGCAGGGTAATTTCCAGGTATACACGGGTTCTCCGCGAAATTCCCGGCATTTTGACGATTTGGCCTAAAATTTGGCTGATTTGGGGCCCAAACCAGCCTCAGACTCGGCTCAGAGCCAAAAATTTGACGATTTCCACGCAGTTTTCCCGGAAAATAGAGAGGAAAAGAGAGGGTGTTGTAGAGAAAAAAGGAAAGGAAAACAGACGGGGTGCGAGAGGCAAACCGGGTTGAGCCCAATAATCCTATTCCCAGCTCCGCTCAGCGTAGGCACTTGGAGCACTTGGAGTGCAGTCATCAGCCTCACATTCACGCAGGCGTTATTCTTGCGCGACCGAAAAATGCAATCTCGTTGGCTCGCCGCCATCCTCGCCGTCCTCGCCGTCCGACGGGCCGCTGCTGCTCAGACTGCCGCCGAGCTCATTGCGGAGGCACGCGCGACCGCTCGCAGGGGCGATGGCGACCGCGCAGATTCGCTGCTGAAGCAGGCCGAGCAGGGCCTGCCGGGAGAGGCGCTCATGCTCCGCGGCAACATAGCCATGCACGTGCGGAAGGACGTGGAGGGAGGCATGGCGCTCTTCCGCGCGTCCATCGCCGCAGACGCGACGCGGTGGGACTCTCACTACTTTCTGGGCCGCGCGCTCGCCGACCAAGAGCGGTGGGACGAGGCCACCGCCTCGTTCGCCGCCAGCGCAGAGCTCGATCCCACAAAGTTGACCGTGCTCCTCGACCTCGGAAAGGCTCAGGCGGCCTCAGGAGGCTTCGAGGATGCCGCCGCGACGATGCTACGCGCCGCGGCCCTCGACGTGCACAGCAGCCAGGCCCTCCTCCTCCTCGCCCAGACGGCGGTCCAGCGCCGCGAGCTCGAGGCAGCGCTGCGCGCGTACGAAGATGTGACTGAGCTGCTTCCGTGGCACGCGCAGCCGTTTCTCCAGCTCGCCAGCCTGCGTGTCAGCCTCGTGGCCTCGGGCGTGCCGGAAAGGGCCGCGATGGCGGCGGCGGCGGCGGCACGGCCGGGCGCACCGTCCGTGTGCGAGCTGCGAGACGCGGCTCGGGCCCTGCAGCCGTCCATCGCGGTGCCGGAAGCCGTGCGTCGCTCGTGTGAGAGCGGCAGACTCGAAGGGAGTAAGGTCGTCGTCCCCGGCACAGAGTTTGATGACGACATCGCCATCCGGGACAGGGAGGCGGTGGCGGCGCAGGCAAAGGCGGTGGCAGAGGGCCCGTGCCACTTCCTCGCCGCCTTCCCGTCGCTCGCGTCCCGCGCCTCGACGACAGCGTCCGAACCGTCCTCGTCCTCCGGCCCCGCCTGCGTCGTGCGGCTGCCCGCGGGGCGCGCGCTTCGGCTCCGGCACGCCGAAGGCGACAGAAGCGGCGTGCTGGTGCCGGGCGGCGCGCACTTGACCGTCGAGGCGGACGGCGGCGCAGAGGGCAGGCGGGCGGTGCTCGACGCGGGCGGCGCCTCTCGCCTCTTTGTCGTCGGGGCGAACGCCACGCTCACCTTGCGGCGCGTCACGCTGCGCGGCGGCCGCTCGCTGCTCAGTGGGGGCGGCGCGCTGCTCCTCCTCCCGGGCGCCACCCTCGACGCGTCAGAGTGCGCCTTCGAGGCCAACCGGGCGGTGCTGGGCTCTGGCGGGGCGATCGCGAGCCGCGGGGCGACGGTGCGCCTCCACAAGGTTCGCTTCGCGGACAATGAGGCGACGCTGCGGGGCGGCGCGCTCTGCCAGACGTGCACGTCGGAGGCGATGCGAGCGACGACCACGCTGGAGGAGGTCGAATGGCATGCCAACCGCGCCGGGCGGGGCGGAGACGACGTGATGCTGTGCGCGGGGGCGGCGCTCATTCCACGCCCCTCCTCGGCCGCGTGCTCGCTTGCCGAGTCCGCTGAGCCGGCGGGCAGCAGGGCCGGCGCCGACTCCGCCGGCGAGGAGCCGCCGGATGGTCTTTCAGCACCCACACGCCTGGTGCTCAGCGGCGGCTCCATGTCTGCGCTCGAGTGCTCCAACGAGGCGCTCGAGCTCCTCGAGCGGAAAGGCCTCGAGCGAGACGCGCTTCGGCTGCTACAGCACGCGAGCGCCGCGGACCCTTCCTCTCCGAACGCCTTCTCCTTCCACCTCAACTTCCTCTACACCCACGCCAAGGACAGCGAGGCGGCTGCACTCCTCGAGGCTTTTGCCGCAGCTGTGCCCGATCACCCGTCCCTCCCAGCCTCCAGAGCGATGCTCGCGGACGCGTCCGCCCCCATGCTACACCAGCGCGGCCAGACGCTCAACGGACAAGTGGCCCGCATGCGCGACCCCGGCGCCCCTCTCGCGGTCGACTTCGCGTCGAGGCTTCAGGCGCAGGACGCCGCCACGTCCGCCTTCGCCCAGGCCCTCCGGCTCTCGCCGGCGAGCGGCGATGTCTGGAACGACCTCGGGACGTCCCTCTTCTTCGCCGGCGAGCTCGCAGAGTCGTCGCTCGTGTACGCTGCGGGCGTCCAGCGCGCCCCGTCGCACGCGGCTCTCCGGGCCGAAGCGAAGCGTGCAGCCGCCTTCCCCCTCGCTCCGAGGTCCGCCGATCAGATCACGGTCGACCTCTTTGGTGGCGGAGCACCGAGGAGTGGTGGAGCACCGGGCGGCGGCACCTTCGCGTCCGAGTTCACCGCCATCCCTCTTCCGGAGGGCTCCTATGGCAGCCGGCCCGAGTCAGTTGACTTGCAAGCGGGAGCGGAGACCTTTGGCGAGCGGCCGAGGGTGTTTGTGTCGCAGCGGCCGCTGCTGCCCAAGCCGACTTGCGAGCGCTACATCGCAGCGGCCGAGGCATGGGCGGCGCGGTCCGGCGGCTGGACGACGGCGAGGCACCACTCGGTGGCGACGACGGACATTCCGCTGACGTCGCTCGACGAGCTGCTCCCGTCCTTCAACGAGGCGCTGCGCACGCTGCTGCTCCCTGCCCTCTCGGCGTGCTACCCCGAGGCGGCTCCCCTGGCGAGCTCTCTGCGCGTCCTCGACTGCTTCCTCGTGCGGTACGACGCGACCAAGCAGGCCTCCCTGCCCACGCACACGGACCAGTCGCTGCTCAGCTTCACCATCGCCCTCAACGACCCCGGAGAGTACGACGGCGGAGGGACGTGGTTCCGCGGACTCGGCCGTGCGGTCGACGCGCCCGCCGCCGGCCACGCCGTCCTTTTTCCGGGCAAGGTGGAGCACGGCGGTCACCCGATCACGCGGGGGGTTCGATACATCATCGTGCTCTTCATGGGCTACGAGACAAACAGGCTGAGCCAGCGGCCTGCAGGCTACGCGCTCGAGGCGGCCGGTGATAGCTTTCCCGCCGGAAGCCTGCTCAAGGAAGAGTTGTGACCTGTGAAGCTGAAGGGATGCATATGCCTTCCTATGTCACTCAGAAAGGTATAGTCCATAGAGCCGTGTAGCCCCCGTAGCCGTACGTGTATACAGTATAGACCGCGCGTACAGTGTGTCTCGCGGGGGCTCGGCATATACGGCTTTATTTTTCGAGCCCGTCGTCGGACGTTGGTCGTTGCGTTATATCGGTGCGTTCGCTCATATTCAGTATAAGACTCTGCTCAACAGTGCAACCTCTGTAAAGCCGTACGTAGCAAGCGGCAGACACAAACCACACGTCTCTCTTGCGCAGCACGCTCGCCGAGGCCCTCACCGGCCTCGCTCGGTGGGCTCGCGCTTGTAGGCATGGGCGCGTGTGGGGAGGCCGCGTCGCGGCCCCTCCATCTCGCGTCGCTCCACGAGCAGCCTCAGCCGCGCCTCCTGGATGAGGCCACGCTCGTGCTGCCAGCTGGTGGCGAGCGCGTCGACGCCGAGAAGCGCGCGCACGAGCTCATACCGGCGAGTGAAGAGGCGGAGCGCCATGTCGATGCACGAGTTGTGCGCGAGCTCGAGCCGCGCCAGCTCCTGCACCGCGAGCCGCTCACCGCCGACAGCCGCCTCGACGCGCTCGCGCATGGGCGTGCAGCACCGCACGTCGGCGAGGAACGCGCGGTGTGGCGTGGGCAGATCGGCAGAGGCCTGCCACTCGCGAAAGCGGCCGATGGCGTGGCCGCCGCGATGCACGCCGAGCAAGTGCAGCACCATCGGCTGGTCGATGCCGCTCGCACAGTAGACCCGCACCGCGCGCGCCTCCGCTTCCGAGGCGAGGCCGAGCTCCGGCGGCGACGGCGGCAAGAAGCGGTGCATCCGCCCCATCAGCAGCGCCGGCGTGACCTTTGGCGCGTCGGCGCCAGGCGCCTGGCCAATGCCGGCGACATAGTGCACCTGGGGAGCTCAGCCATAATCAGTGGGAGAGCTCGGGGGAGGGGAGGAAGGCCCCGCGCCCCCTCACCCTGACGAGGGTCTCAAGCGCCCCCTCGAGCGACTGCAGCGCGCGCACTTGCTCGTTCGTGTCGCAGGCGCCCACACAGTGCCGCGCCGCCTCGACCAAGCGACCCTGTGAGGCGCGGAGGCGCCCGTGGGACCCCGGAGGATGGGAAGTGTCTAGGAGAGTGTCTAGGAGGTGTCTAGGAAGCCTCGCACCGCCTCGCCGGCGAGCGTGACGTGCAGCCGCACAAACCAGTCCTCCTCTTCAAAGCACACGAACCGCTGGCACGGCACGACGCGCCGCATCCTGCGTAGCGAAGGCCGGTCTCCTTCGCCCTCGGCCCCGCCCTCGCCCTCGCCCTCGCCCTCGGCGGGCTCGTCCCCGCCGAGCGGCGGTAGCAGCCGCCAATTGTAGAGAAGCAGCTCCGCAACCCCAAAACGAGACGGCCGGTCCACCCTCCCGCAGAGGGCCGCGTGCAGAAGGAGCAGCGGCGCGGGCGGCGTCTCCTCGGTGTCGCGGTCCGCCGTCGGGGGCGGCGACGCGTCGTCGGGTGCGGCAGGGTCGTCGAGCTGGTCGTCGTGGCGCGGGTGGCGGTGGCACCTACCGGGCAGACGGGCCAGAAGTGAGGAGAACAGTCGCGAGGCAGGCTTGGCTCCGCGCGAGAGCGGCGCGGCACCACCAGCCGCGCCTCGCCGCGGCGCCGCCCTCGGCGTACGAACGACGATGCGCCTCCGGGGAGGCAGCGAGGCCGGGAGGCTCGCGCTGGGGAGGCGGCTTGGCGGCGCGCCAGCCCGCGAGCACGTAAGCGGTCACGCAACGCGCTCGCTCCGCGGAGTCTTCGCTGGGCAGCGCGGCGACCGCGGCGGGCGGGGGGAAGTCGCCGCGCGCCGCAGCGGCGGCGACGAGCGAGCGGAAGGTTGGGGGAGGGACGCACGCGCCGGGCAGCCGTCGCAGCAGGCGCACGGCGGCCCGCCACGCAGCAGGCAGGCCGTCGAGGTCGAGCGGGGGTCGCGCGGGCAGCAGGCCCCGCTCGTCTGTCACCGCCCACAGCTCGCCGGCCGCCGCGTGCTCCGCTCCGAGGCGCTGGCCGGCGTGGAGCGTGAGGGCAGCCTCGGCGAAGGCGGCAGCCGGCAGCTTCCAATCCGGCGGGGCGTGTGCGGCGGGGGGGCGGAGGAGCGGCGACGAGGTGAGGGTCGGAATGAGGGCCGCCTCGGTGTCGTTGATGTGCTGGTTGAGGTAGGCGAAGGCGGGCGTGCCGCCCGTGCCCCGCGCGGTGGCCATCCCGCCCGAGGGCTTGATGACGTACTCCTCGATGTACGAGAGGTGGCGCCACCGAAAGTCGAGCACGCGCCGCACAACCGCATTGTAGTGGTCGACCAGCGACTCGACGGCCGCCTGTGGGAAAGCTGCGAGAAGGTTGACCGAATGCTCCGCGAGACGGCGAGGCAGAGGCCGAGCCCGCCTCGTGGAAGGCCTCGTCGCCCTCGAACGTCGCCATGGCACACTCCGGCCACGACTCGTCCTCCGCCGCGCCGGCGCCCGCGCCCGCCGTGGCACCCACTCCCGCCGCACCACCGCCCGACGCCATCGCCTCCTCGCCGCCGCCGCCGCCGCGCCCGCCGCCTGGAGACGGCGAGACGTGCGGACCGCCCGTGTCGGCGGTCGCAGACAGCGACGCCGGCGAGCCGCCGCCGCTGCTGCCGACGCCGCTGCCCGCACGGCGCGCCGCCTCCCGCAGCCGGACGATGAGGGGGCGGAGGGGGCGGCGGCGCACGTCGTCGAGGAAATCGCGGTGCGGCGCGGGCATGTACTGCTCGAAGGCCTTGAGCATCGCGCCGAGCGCCTCGGACGACATCGAGATGCCGAGGAAACCGTCGCAGAGCGGGAGGATGGCCGACATGGCGCCTACATGGAAGTGTCTAGGAAGTGTCTAGGAAGTGTCTAGGAAGTGTCTAGGATGGCCGACATGGCGCCCGACGGGCCGCACAGCCTCTTGCGCCGCTGCAGCGAGGCGATGCGGCGGCGGAGGTGCTCACGGTGCGGCGCCTACGGGACGCGCCGTGGACGTGTCGTAGGCGTAGCCTCGACACGCCGGCGAGGGGTCGCGGGCGGGCCAGGTCGGGCAGGCCGGACCCGGCCGCCGCCGCCGCCGCCTCGAGCCGCTCGACCGCCTGAGAGAGAGCCGTGTCGTGACGCTTGGTGGAGGCTTACTGCACGCGTCGCGCCTCCGGCCGGTCGAGCGCCTCGAGTTGGGAGGTGAGGTCGTGCAGCGCGGAAGAGTCGTCGTACTGCCCCTCGAAGAGGGCCGTCCACGAAGAGATGAGCGGCCGCACGCGGTGGAAGAAGGCGTCCGGCTCGCACATGAAGCCGTCCTGCGGCGCAACAGCGGGCGGTGAGGGCTGCGCGACGGCAGTGTCTCGCCGCCGTGGGCGGCGGTCCTCGTCGCGCCGCTCGAACATGAGGCGCAGCGTGTTTGACGCGACGTGCGAGAGCGCCTGCTCCAGCCAGGTGATTATATTATATTATATTATATTATATTCTATTCTATTCTATTATATTATACGCCTGCTCCAGCCAGGTGAGCTGGGCGAGCAGGCGGTCGAGGTCGCAACGCCGGACTGCGGCGGCGGCGTCGTAGACGGCCGAGACGACGCCCGCCGCCTCGGACTCGATGATGACGTGGGTCTTGAGGAACCACTCCTCGTCGAGCAAGCCTACAGGGACGCGGGCAGTGGAGCGTGGCGTGGCCGTGCGGTGGGGCCGAGAGAGCCCCGTGTCGCGCGCCAGTGAAGCGGTTGAGGATTCGCACATTGTCCGGCGTGATGCCGCCCTCCTGTCCGCAGCTAGAAGGTGTGAGGAGACGCTGTTCGCAGCGGTGTGCGGAGTGACGCCGCCCGCCGGGTGCAGCAGCGCAAAGTTGAAGAGCACGCAGTTGGCGTAGTCGATGGTCGGCTGCCGACCCACGCGCGCAGACACCGCCAGCCAGCCGTCCGAGAGGAACTTTGGAACGACCTTGGCCTCGGGCTCGAGCGGCACCGGCGCGGCAAGCGTCGGCGCCGTCGGCGGCGGCGACGGCGCGACGGCTGCTCCTCCGCTGCTCCCGCCGCCGGGGGACGTCGCTCCGGGAGCGTCGGCGGCGGCGGGCGTGGCGCCCGCTGCGGTGGTGCGCTGCGGCGGCGCGGGCTCGGCTCCAGTGTCTGCGGCGCCGGCCGTGGCGGGCCGTGCGGGCCGTGCGGGCGCGAGCGCCTCGAGCGAGGCCGGCGCCTACGGGGGGAAGCTTCCGAGAAGGGTCGGGGTATGTGCCCGCCCCGCGGGCCGTCTCCGAGCGATGCGTGCGCCGTCGCCACGCGGCCGAGCGGCGGCGGGGAGGGCGGTGCGGCCGAGGCGGAGGGGCGGGGCCCGCTGCTCGCGGGGGGCTCGAGGACGTACCTGCGAAGAAGAGAGGGGGTGACGGGAGAGGAAGAAGGCTGTGTGTGTGTGTGGTGGGTGGGGAGGTGGTGGGTGGGTGGGTGGGTGGGTGGGGGGGCTCGAGCGCGCACCCCTTGCCGATGTAGCCGTAGAGCGAGTGGATGCGCTCGAGCAGCGCCTCGTCCCGCTCCGCGCGGATGGCCGCCTCGAGTGGCGCGAAGTCGGCGGCGCGGGCGTCGACCAGGCGCCGGAAGGAGCCCTCGGCCAGCGCGGCGGGGAGCCCCTCGACCAGCTCGGTGAGCAGCTTGTACGGCTGCGGCACCTCCTCGGGCGGGTTCCTCGCCGGCAGGAAGCCGCGGCACCGAGTCGACCAGAGCCGGTCCTGCGGCCGAGGAGCGCGGTGGAAGACGGCCGACTTGAGGACCCACCGCTGCGAGTCGGGCTCCAAACTCCCGCCGCCGCCTGGAAAGGCGCCGTCGACGCTGTTTGCACCGCTGCCGACGCCGCCGCCTCCCGCGCGGATGCCGCCGCCGCTCGCTGCTCCGGCCAGCTCCGCCGCCCCCACCCGGAGCGAGGTCAAGGCGGGGCGGGCGGGCGGGACGGTGGGCGGAGGCCGGCCCGAGGAGGCTGCGATCCCACCGCCCTCGGCTCGGTCCAATGACGCGCTCGCCGCCGCGGGCAGGTCCGCGTGCGTGAGGCGTGGCGCCGCGGGCGCAGGCGGGAGGTGCGAAGTCGAGGCGGCGGCGGCGTCCGGCGACGGAGCAAGCTGGCCGACACGCAGGGCCTGCATGTGCTTTGTCGCGTGCATGGAGTGCCCGATCGCGTCAAAGGCGGCGGAGGCGTCTCGGCCTCCGCGCTCGAAGAGGCGGTCGTTGCCGCCTGGGTGGTGAAAGTCGGTGACGTCGTAGACGTCGCCGTGGATGACGATCCAGCAGCTTTCGTTGGTGGCGTGCGCCGCCAGCTCGGCTGAACTCACCCGCCGCGACATCCCTCGCCAGTTTTGAGGCCGTGGGCTGGAGTCCTGGCGCGACCAGATTTTTCTTTTGTGAGTCTGTCAGGAAGCGCGGGTTAGCCGTGGGTTCCACCGGGTTAAGCCACACTAACCCAGCACGGGTCAGCACGGGTTAGAACGGGTTACCATAACCCGACGCTAACCCGGCACTAACCCGGCACTAACCCGGCACTAACCCGAGACTAACCCATCCTAACGTATGCCCCCGAGCAGCCCGGGTTAGCGCCGGGTTAGTCTCGGGTTAGTCTCGGGTTAGGTTTGGGTTAGAGCCGTCTACGGCTCGTTCCGCCCCTCTCTCGTGCGTTCACTGCACACTCGCCACACCACAGCCGCGGGCGCATGGCGAGCGGGACAGTCTCATGCCACAGGATCTATAATGTACCGCCCTCAGTGCACTCCTCCCTAGGGCCATCACTGGCACACGTTGAGGGCCGGCCGCCGGGCCCCCTGCAGCCCGCACTGCCACTGCAACGGAGGCCATGGGCGCACCGGGAGGTGTGTCGACTGGGCGTCAGGCGCGCACGGAGCAGTGAGGAGGGAGGTGCTCTAGTCGACGTACACGGTCCACTTCCAGCACGAGCGATCCTCGTCCCAGACGTACCGGCCGCCCAGGCTTTCGATGTACACCGAGTGCTCGTCCGCGACCTCGGTGGTCATGCCTTCTGTCTCTGAGCCCGAGTCTTCGTGGACTAGCCACCTCCACGTGCCGTGCCACTGGCGCATCTTGAACTGCACCGTGCCATCGTCCAGCACGCGCAACGACTCTGGGCGGGCCGTCCGGCGCACCCACCCTGATCTGGCGGCTCGGTCCGCCGCTAAGGCGGCATCAATGGCGCGTTGCTCCCGCCGCTGGCGCTGGCGGCGGCGCTCCTTCCGCACTGCCGTGGTGACTGTCTCGGCTGTAGGCGGACAGTCGTCGTCATCATGGGGCGGCGCCATCGCGCAGCCGACGGCGAAGGAAGCAAGTTGACTAGCGGCGGTTGCACCGTCTCGAATGCGCGGCAGGTTTGTTGTTACTTTGTTCATACATAAATGCGGGCGACATTCGACTAACAACAATATACCTACGAACAATATACAACTAAAAACAACATGCCTGTAACAGAAGTGCCCGCCCGCGAGTTTCTCGCCGATCGGCGAGCGCGAAACTCGGAGGGCGCGAACAGAGTTGCAGCAACGACAATGGATCACGATGAGTATTGGGCGCAGCGCGCCGCGGCGTTATTCGACGAGGAGGACAACGTGCCGCGCATGGAGCCGCCACCGCCGCCACCGCAGGGACCGCTGCGCATCTCCGGCGCCTCGGTGCAAGCGGTGTTTTATGGCGTCGGATCCAATGACGCGTTTCTCAACATCTCTGGCGTCGGCGCCAAGCGCGGTCCAACCGGCAAGGCAGAGTACATCGTCACTCGCAGGCACGCCCTTCCCGCCAACCCCTACGGCGGCGTCACCACGCTGGGCGAGCTTGCCGGCAGCATTCTCGGCGAGCAGCTCGGGATGGAGCTGCGCGACCTCTGCGTGCAGGTCATCAAGGTGCAGGCGCTGCAGGCCAGTGTGCGCGAGGTCGCCATGCGCTTCGAGATGCTTAGCCTCGACACGCGCATTCAGATCGAGCAGAAGCCTGACGCCGCGCCCGACACCAAGCTGATTCTCTACCTCCGCGCGGATGAGCTGCTCAAGGCCCGCGCACGGTCCACTGCCATCAAGTACGACACCTTCCTCGAGGATGCAGCGACTGAGGTGGGCGGCGTGATCAAGGGTGCCACCGCCGCCGGCCTCATTGGCCACAGTGCGAGCTCGATCAAGAAGGCGCTCAACCCCGCGCAGTCGCAGAAGAATGGGGAGGTGCGCCTCGCCCAGCACTGCGACCATATCCCTCGGCGCTCCTCACCCCACCTCCCCTGCGGTGCGTGCACTCCAGGTGCTCAAGGCGATCGAGACCTTCATGAACGAGCACTACACCTCCGGCTTCTCGAAGCTGGAGGTCGAGATCGCCAAGCTCACCGCCCACCGGCACAAAGCCTTCGTCTGTCGCTCTCGCGAGGTGCGCGTTGAAGTCGATGTACGTGGCCGTGCCCTCGCGCCGGCGCCCAAAGCCGGCCACGTTTTTAGCATCGTTGTCGTCGAGCTCACGCAGCATCCGCGCGTTCCGGTAGTCGAGCACCTGACGCGCCAACGGCTCGCTCTGCTTGTTGGGCACGCGGAGAGCGTTGCGAGGCAGTACCGTGTACGAGTCGTTCGCAGCGAGCACGTAGAGGTCGGTGATGACCGGAAGGTAGCCGCCCAGCACGAGCAGCCGCTGCAGAGCGTGCAGCTGGTTGTGCCCCTTCTTGTTGCCGTGCGGGTCGTCGGGGCCAAACAGCTGCCACACGAGACGGCGGGCCTCCTTGCCTTCCTTGTCCGTGAATTTGACCCACCGCTCGACAGCGACAAAGGAGACGAGGCCGCACGAAATGACGACGGCGCGCTCGCCCGCCTCGAGCGTCACGGCGATGCTCGGGCGATAGCGGTCGCCCTTGCCGCCGAAGTGCTTGCAGTGCAGGACGACATGGCGGCGCAGGCAGCGTCGGTCGCCTTGGCAGAGATGGCGGCCGCAGCAGCCGCGTGCACCGGCGCGCGAGCGAGCTCGGCCCGCCTGCTCTCCTCGGCAGCGTCGGTCGCCTTGGCAGAGATGGCGGCCGCAGCAGCCGCGTGCACCGGCGCGCGAGCGAGCTCGGCCCGCCTGCTCTCCTCGGCAGCCGATGCCGCCTGGGCAGCCACTACCGCGGCAGCCTTGGCGTTCACCGCCGCAAAGATTTGAGCCGGCGAAGGCCGGGGACGAAACTCAGCCGGTCGCTGCCCGTTGGAGGATGAAGACGCAGCGCCACGAGCTGGCACGCTCGTGCCAAAGGCAAAGTTGCTCGCGCGATGTGCCGCCGCTTCCCTCAAGTGACGATCGTACTGTTGCTTCGATACATTGAGCTTAAAGAGCATGCCGCACGAGTCTTTGGCGCACGTGTAGCCGACGGCCTTAGCAACCGCCTTGGACCCGTCCGAACTGCGCACGCGGATGTTCTTCTCAATGAGCAGCTTGGCATCCACGGCCTTCTGCAGCCAAGGCTCCATCGCGGAGGTCGGCTCGGGTGCCCGCCGCAGCCGTTTCATCTCGCCAACCAGCTCTAACCCGGGGTGCGCTGCACTAACCCGGCACTAACCCACCCCTAACCCGGCGCAGACCCATGCTGACGTATGCCCCCCAGCCGCACGGGTTAGCGCTGGGTTAGTGCCGGGTTAGTGCCGGGTTAGTGCCGGGTTAGTGCCGGGTTATGGTAACCCATTCTGACCCGTGCTGACCCGTGCCGGGTTAGTGAGCACTAACCCGCGCTAACCCGCGCTTAGCGAAAGACTCACTCTTTTTCGCCCTTGTTTTCTGGCCGTCTGGAGACGGACCGCTCGACCACTCGACTGGAAAGGGATGGGTCAAAGACCACGCGTATGGAGACGGGTGGGTCAAGAAGAATGCAGCCTGAAGTGGACGGTCAGTACTACGACGCGAAGTGGGTCAAGAAAGCCGTAACGCGGCTGGAGAGAGAGATTTTTAGCAATACCAAACAACTCTAACACTGTTTGTCGCGGCTGGTGCTCGTGGAAACTTTGCGTGGTATTGCGCCGCCCACCAAGCAGTTCCTCCACGTGTTCGCCAAGGAAGCGGCCAACACGGACCGGACGGTGTATGGGTGGGGGGCGTCGGCGCGAGCGTCCCACACCGCAGCCAGCAGATCTCCATGGCGGCGGTGGGCCGGTGGCGGGCATGCCGACAACATCAACAAGCAGGCACGCAAGATGCGTACCAACTGGGTCAACTCCCCTGAGTGCCAACTGATCAACGACGTCAACAACAAAAAGCAAGCGGCAAAGTATGTAATTTTTCTCTTTTCCAGCCGCTTGCTTGGAAAATGCGCTCGCTGCTCGTCGGCTCGCACAACATCATGCACGGCCTCTTCCTGCCCGAGCTTCTCCCGGCGTACGCCCGCCTCCACCGCGAGCGCGGCGTCGGCGCGCTGTGCCTGCAGGAGTGCTCGCACAGCGCGGCCTCGGCCGTCGCCCGGGCACTGGGTCCCCGCTTTGCTGCCGCGTGGCACCCGGTTGCACGCGGCCTTGCCGTCGTGTACGACCGGACACGCCTCGTCCCTCGCCGGCGGTCGGCGATTGGCCTGCCGCGGCTGACTCGCGTGCCACGCTGGCAGTGGGCGTACACGAGCAAGACGCCCGAGCAGCGGTGGGCGCTCGCGGTTCGCTTCGCGCCGCGTTGCGCTGCTGGCCATGCCGCCGGCCGGTGCAGCGCCACGCTCGTCAGCTTCCACCTCGACGCTGCGGGCGACCTGGCGCACCGCACACGCCAGATGCGCGCGCTATCGCATGCGCTGACCTCCGAGGCGCGTGCGACACCGCTGCAAGACCACTGCGGCCACTCGGCCGGCGCCGCTCTCTGGCTCTCACGCGACCTGCTCACGCCGCGGCGTGCCCGGCCGCAGGTCCCTCTCTCCGCGCCGCTGGTCGCATGCGGCGACACAAACGCTTTCACGCTGCTTCGCAAAGCCGCTGAGCCGGCACTCGCTGCGCTGCTGCAGCCGCTAGTGCACCGCCACCGAGCACGCGACGCGGCTCTGGCCGCCGGCCCGGCGCGGCCGGCAGACACACACCACTTTGCGCGCGCCCGCGAGCCAAAGCTCGGCCACCGGCTCGCCGTCGCTGCAGGCTTGCGCAAGGCCGCCCAAAGGCCCGCCCCGGCTGAGGCCCACGCTGAGGCGGCCCTCGCTGCTGCTCGAGACAGGTGCGCTTGGGGTCGACTTGCCTCGCCGGTACGACGTGATCTGCACCGCACGGTGCACCGTCCTCCGAGCCGGTCTCGTCGACACTCCCGCGTCCGATCACCAGCTGGTGTGGGCTGAGCTGAAGCTGCGACCGAGGGCCGGCGGCCGAGAAGCGAGATCGGCGATCGGCTAAGTGAGGCTGCAGACTGAGGAGGGGGCGATGTAAATAAATAAATAAACGGACACCTCTTCTGGGAGATGCGATCTTTGTGCAGGGTTCTTTGTGGGTGTGGTCGGCGACTACGGCTTGTTCCTTCCCTCGTCTCGCCCTGCGCGATGTATATATGCGTGTGTAGAGAAGACTTTTAAAACACCCTGCCCCTCCCACCACCCGCGTCGCTCGCTCCCGCGCCGCCGCCCCGCGCCTAGGGCGGGTCCATCGACGAGGGCACGCGCTTCGTGTTTGGCAGGTAGTATGGCGTGTGCGTCGAGTTGCGCTGTGCGCACGGGCCGTGGGTTGCGGGTGTGCGCACGATCATGAGCCGCCCTGCGCGCTGGGGTGTGTGCGGCCGCAGAGCGGGTGTGCTGGGATGCTCGACAGACCTCATACACAGTACTGCCCCGGGCCTGGCCCAGCGCGCGCGGCCTGCTCACGCCGCTCGGCAGCCCAGCGGTCGACCAGCGAGAAGGCAGGGGCAGGGTAAGAAAGCCTCTTGTCGAGCACCTACAGTGAGATCGAACGCGGCAACATCTCGCTTCTCACGCGTGGGGCGGCGACAAGAGCTGTCTCGGAGGCGCCTGCCGCCCGAGCGAGGAGCTCACCTCGTAGGATCCCGGCGGTGCACCCTCTAGGCAGCGCAGATGCCCGAGGTGCGCCGGGGAGATGTAGAGCCGTCCGAGCTGCTCACGGGTCGCTGTGCCGAATCCGAAGGAGCCCGAGGAGCGGCGACACGACAGTACCTGTGAACCGAGCATCGAGAGCGACCCCGTCGCCGCGTACGAATTGTCGGTGAGTTCTGGTCGTGGCGCGACCGTCTCAAAGAGGGTGCTCGAGCTGCTGTTTAGCCGGTTGGAGCTGAGGCGGGGCTCTCCGGTGGTAGAACTGCGCACTGCAGCATAGCTTAGTAGGCTGTCGCTTGCGCTGCGGTGAAGGTCGCGCAGTTGCTGACGCTGCCGAGCCTGCTCGCGGTAAAGAGGCTGCTGCTCCTGGATGAAGCGCAGCTTCTCGGCCGAGCCGTGTCCGTGCGTGATGCACCTCGAAGTGTACGCGGCTTCTGCGGTGGCGGTGGTGACGGTGGCGCGTCCTCGAGTGCCTCCGCCCTGACCTTGGCAACCTCAGGAAGCTGCGTGGTGCAGAACTGCTCCGCCCAGTCGCGCTCCTGGAGCGCGATGCACCGTTCGGCTGAGCGCGTGAAGATGCTGCAGAGCCCGAGGGGCCTGCAGCTGACGCCATCGTCCTTCCAGAGGCAGACGGCGTTGAGGTCGTCCTCAAGCCGCTTGAGACGCTCGTGCATGACACCCCAGCTAAAGGAGGTGCAGAAGCTGAAGAGGCAGTCCGCCCCGTCGGTCGACTCGGTGATGATGCGGACGAGCTCGTAGTCGACTTGGGTCGGGCCGCCCTTGCGGGCGCGAGGCAAAGACTTTGCGAACTTGTTGAACGACTTTCTCTTCAGGACATACCGCGCGACGCCCGGTTCGTCGGCGGTGACACTGGCAGGCGGGGCCCGCGCTTGCGGCGTCTTGCCGAGGTAGTTGGCGACAACCTTGGGGTCGCGGCCGTCGGCGGGCGCGGAGGGCCAGTAACAAACAGTAACAGCTTCGGCTGGGGAGAACACTTGAACAACGTTGAGGATTTCAGCCAACAATAGTGCAACTGTTAGGCCCAAAGTTAACGTTTGTGAGACAGCTCTACCCCCGCCGCCCCGGTTTCCCCCGCCACGCGGATCTTGTGCACATGTGCGCGAACTCGAGAGGAGTGCGCTAATGAACTGCGGTCTGCTCTCCCCCGCGGCGAACAACCCAACCCGACCCAACCCGACCTAACAACCCAACCCAACCCAAAAAGCACGATTCTGAACTTTTGGGCCCTCACCCCTCAGAGCTCAGTCAGGGTCGACACAGGCGCGGACTGGCACACACATGCGGTAGGTATATAGGTAGGTAGGAAGGTGAAGAACAGTCTGGCTCGGACTGGACACCAGCGCGGTATGGGTGGACGCAAGAAGAAGATGCTGGTATTCTTCGAAGTCCACCGTCCAGTGGCAGTGCGGGTAATACCCGAAAATACCTGGAAAACCTCGGGTATTTTCGGGTTGTACCCGGGGGTTTTGGCATTTTCTGCTTGCTGACCACTGTGCACTGAACAACAGGTACAACAGGTACAACAGGTACAACAGGTACCGTCGGGTCTCTATTTTAAGATGAGGTAAACAGCAATAGATCCGGGTGTAGTGCCGGATCAGTTCCTGGAGCCAGGGGGACCGATTCGCACTTGCCAAGGGACCAATTGCTGGAAGCCTGCGCAGCCTGCGCTCCGGCCGGCAGAGGGCTTGCGACCCGTGGCAGGGTGACAGCCCGCCGGTGGGCGAGCCAAACTCTGGCGGAGGCAGCCCGCTCAGCCCCAGGCGCCCCTCGAACCGGAGGGTGGTCTGCCGCCGCTGCGCGGTCGGCGCGCCGAGGGCGGGAGACATATCGCAGCTTCGCGCCACAGGTAACCTGGGGACCGATTCTCGACCCCAAGTTTGGCAGCGCGCGGGCAGTGTGAAGGATCGATTGCTGTACAACGAGGGACCGATTCCGTGAGGGCCGGGTATCGATTAGGCCGCTTGAGGGCCGGATCTATTGCTGTTTACCTCATCTTAAAATAGAGACCCGACGGTACAACGTCGAAGAAGAAATTCGGTCGGCCTAGGCCACACGACTCACAGAGATGACGCCCGCGGAGAAGCTCAGCGACTTCACCGGCCCGGCGCTCTGCCTGGTCGGGCTGGTGGAGTTTGCCGGCGGGCTGCTCGATGTCTTCATATCCCCAAAGGGCGCTGACTTCGGCGCGGAGGACGTCAAGCTGATGCCGCTGGTTGGCGCGCTGCGGCTCGCGCTCGCTGCGCTGCTATTCATCGCCGTCTTCTTCCCCTCCTCGAATCAGTTTGACCTTGCCACTGTCGCCACCGTCGCCTGCGTCTACGAGTGCCTCGTGCTCCCCGTCGGCTCGCTTCGCGCCGGAGGCCGCTTCCGCGCGAGAACGAGCCTCGCGCTCTTCCTGGGTCTGGCCGTGGCGGCTGCGATGTGGTGCGACGCGCTCGCGGACGGCGCGCAGCCTCTCGACGCCGCCCTCGCGTCGCCTTGGCTCATGGCCTCGACCCTCGCCCTCCTCGTCGGAGGCGGCGCCTGTCTGCTCGCGCGCCTCACGGCGCCCGTCAGCTCTCGCGCAGTCGCCCCCGAGGCCGGCATGTCGTACTCCTCGCCGTACGTGAGTATGGAGCACCACAAGCTCTCGCCTGTCGCAAAGCGGCTGCTTTCCTGATGACCGCGACCGCGGGTAACCACTCCTCCTTTCCCCTCTCGCCCACGAGCCTCAGCTTTGTGGCAGGTGGCCACCCCACCCCTCCCCCACACGTTCCGCCCTCCCTGCATGCCCCTCGCTGGTGCTCAGAGCTCGGTGGTAGTCGCCGCGCCTCCTCTCTAGCACGAACACCGAAACCACGGGAGGGAGCGCTGCGCGTGCGCCTCTCGGCTCGACTCGCTCTGCGCTCTCGCAGCTGTCCGATCATCCGGTAAAGCTAAAGGGGAGATACAGGCGCGCCGTGTCTTTTACGTATAGACATATCCATGTACGAGAAAGAATCGCAACGTTGCGTCGCCCCGCTCGCCGCGATGCGCAACTCCTTCGGCAGAAATTCTGGCCCCGCAACAGGCACACGCGCGACTCGCGCTATATCGCCTCTCGAGTCTCGTCTCCGCACTCCGGCTCGACATCGAGGTCTCCGGGACTCTAGTCTACTCGTTTGCAGCGCTGTCTCTCTACGAACTGTCTATGAGCCGTCCAGGACTCGCACGCAGAGGACGGTCACGTCATCTGGCTTGCCGCCGCTGTGCGACAGGCCGGCATTCTGCGCGGCGGCCGCGAAGGGTGAGCTCCTCCCCGGCTGCAGGCTCGCCTCGTGAGCCGACGCCGCGAGGGCGGCGGCGAGAGACCTCGCAGGCTCGCCGCGCGCGAGCGGACCCGCGAGCGCCTCGCAGATTTGCCGCTCGCTCAGATTGTCGGTCACGCCGTCCGTCACGAGCAGCAGCAGGTCGCCGGCCCTTACGACCCCGGAGTAAACAGCGCCGTCGGCAGCGGAATCGCCCGACCCGACTCCGAGCTGGAAAGGGCAGTTGAAGCGGTGCTGTTGCTCGCGCGAGCGGAGCGTGACGGCCAGGCGGTGCGGCGGCGACACGCGCGACGGACGTAGTAGCCGGAATCCGGAGTCGCCGAGGTTGAGCGCCGTCAGGCTGCCGCTTGCAGAGAGATGCACGAGACAGGCGGTGCAGGTCCCGACCGCTGTTACCCTCGAGCGCGCGGTATCGAGCGCGCGCGCAAGGTCTTCCTCGGCGGCTTCGGCGCCCTCGATCCCGGCGACCTCGCGCGCAGTCTCCACAGCCAAGGCCCGACTGAACAGGCCGGGATCGATGCCCTGCTCCGCCCAGCCTCCGACGCCGTCGAAGACCCCAAATGTAGATCCTCTCGCAAACCAAGCGTCCTCTCCTCCCGTCGCCACCTTGTCAGGGTGCGGCAGCACCACCGCCGCGGCATCGAGCCGGAATAGCAAGAGCATGTGTAGGCGAGTAGAGGCACACGCACGCTCTCTCGAGGTCTCTTAGCAGGGCCCGGCGAGACCTCGAAGGAGCTACCGCCTTGAGCGGGAGGAGGCCTCTACAAGGGCAAATTTTTTCCTTCGCGTGTGTGCTGGTTTAGGGGTGTGCGGGGGGTGTAACGCACGCGCCCTCAGCGGAGCTGGGAAGAGGACCGCCGCAAGCGGCGTAGGGGGGGAGCGGTTGTGCATCCCTCCGGGGGCCCATCTGGATCTGCGCCGGGGAGGCGTTGTTGGAGGCTAGGACGCAAGCGTCCGTCGCCCTTTTCAAACTCGGGGCCCACTCCGCTACGCTCCGACCCGAATTTGGAGGGCCTAAAAGTTTAAGGTGTTGCTGCGCAAAAGGGGTCGGACACAGGGCGCAGCTCATGCCAAGAGCTAGAAAGGGGAGATAGAGAGAACAACCATCGATCGGTCACACCGCCATCGCCGTCGGGGAGAGGGGGGACGACACTGCCTCGGCAGCGTGCACCTCGATCCTGCACCGTGTTTGTTATGACCCCCCCCAATGAACACACCAGTGAGGGAGGGCGAGACGATCGGAGGGGTCCCGTACCATGCGGAATCGACCCTATCAAGTGCTCAAGTGCTCAAGAACAACCACCCCTGTCCCGTCATTGCGTACACCAACACCACAAAAGCTCTCTCTCTCCTGCTCCTCACTCAGGGGGGTCACAACTACCGAGTCCCTCGACTAGCTGCCACGTTCAAAACCAGGACGGCGGCAGTGATGCTGCTATCACGGGCATGATCCGTGGAAAGTGGAGAGGGTGGTACGGGATAGTAGAGCAGGCGCTTTGTGGGTGGCGGTGGGCGGCGGCGTTGGGTGGCCGGCCGAATCGTTAGCGGAGCTCCTCCCTCGAGCTCGATCACGCATGACGCACGTTGAGTGACAACATCGGCGAGCTTCTGAATCAGGTTAGGTTGCCAGAGCACCTCCAACTCCTCCTCTGAGTCAGACACGCCAAATGTCGACTGCGCCCTCCTCCTCCCATTCCTCGACTGCGCCCTCCTCCTCCTCCTCCAATTCGCCGACTGCGCCCTCCTCCTCCCTGGGCTCGATCCGATTCCGCAGCGTGTCGTCCCCAGCGGCGGTGCCGCGCGGGAGGCGGCCGCGGGCACGCTGGGCTCGATCAGCGGCTTCCCCTCAAGTTGCTCCGAAAGCAGCCACGGATTTGGCGGACGTTCTTGGTTTCAACTTTACGGATGTCTTGGCACCCGAGGGACCATGTGGAAGACGGCTAGTGCTAGTCCCCCATCGGGAGGACGACCCCGGCTAGTCGCCGACCACACGGCACAAAGAACCCTGCACAATGATCGCACGGGCGGGGACCTGTTCCTTTTTACCCATCTCCTAGTAGAGGTGTCCGTTTTTATTTATTTAGATGAAGGCTTGCACGGCCGAGATCACATGGTTTCGCCACGGTATTCGGATTTTGATATTTGTTCGTGTGGGGGTATATTGCAGACTTGTCAATGGAACCGGCAACCGCGTGCGCGTCTGCGACACGCGGGCGCCTTGACCCTTGTGATATGTGTGTGTGCGTGCAGAGCCCTCTTACGCCTTAGCCCACCCTTTATGTCTTGCGCGGTCATTACTTGCCGTGGGGACCCTGTCGCCTCCTACGAAAGAGTTTTCGGCCCACAACACCCCCTCACACCTCGATCAGTCTAACGATCTTCACCCAACACTCAGACGCCCTTTCCCGATGGCAGCTCTCGCTAGCGCCGACTGCGCGCGTTCACTCCAGTGCACGAGCGCGAGCGCCGCCGAGAAGGCCGCCAGCGGGCTCAATGGGTCGCGGTACTCCAGGGTCGCTCGGTTGGCCCCGCGGCGGCCCGATGTCTGCAGCAGCAAGTTCCCGGAGTCCGTCTTGGGCAGCGAGAGCCGGACCGCTGCGCTCGGCGCCTCCGCAGCCGCACTCCTCGCGACCTGGCCGACAAAGACGAGGAGCCCCTCCGTCTCGCCCCGCCCGTACCGCTGCAGCAGCGTGTCGGAGGGGCCACGCGGCTTGTGCGCCTGAGTCGCGCCGCCACGCTTCGCCGCCGGCACCACCAGCTCCATCGAGTACGGCGCCTCCTCTCCGCCTCGCGCGCCGGACTCGTCCGCCTCGCCCAAAACCTCGACGAAGATGACGGCCGCGAGCTCCTCCTCCTCCCCCACGGGCCCGTCCTCCGGCAGCGGCGCGTCGCGCCGCTCCCTCCGCACGAGCACGCTGCTGCTCGGCCCGCTCAGCCGCACGAGGTGCTCGCTCTTCTCGGCCGCGCCGCCCTCGAGCAGGAGCTCGAACGCGGCCCCGCGCGGGCCCTCACGCAGCACCGCCTCCATCCACGGCAGCCGCGTGTCCTCGTCGAGCAGCATCTCGAAGGTGAGCCGCGGCGCGCCGCCTCGTCGGTCGCCACTCCGCTGCACGAGCGCGCGAACCGGCGCCGAAGCGGCCGAGCTGAGCGACTGCTCGAGCGACTTCATCCGGATCGTCGACCAGTCGCCCGCCGACGGCTGCGCTGCGGGCGCCGAATGCATCTGCTCGAGCTTGGAGCGCATCACGAGCAGGCGGAACTCTTCGTCGCGCGGGTGCACTCGCGACGACTCGCCCGTGACGCCGTTCGAGTAGTAGAGCCTCCCGCCGGGGTCGACCACCTCGCTCCAGCCCTCCGGCAGCGGCTCGGCCGCGGCGGCCTCGGCGATCCACATGAGCTTGGCGTCGCGGACGGGGTGCAAGCCGAGGTAGCTCGCCAGCGCAGTCGCGTCGGCGGGCGTTGGCGCGTCGCGCGGGGCGGGCGGCTGCGGCGGCGAGTACGGCTCCTCGGCGATGGACATTGTGCGGGGCGAGAAGAGGGGCGCCTGCGGCGGCGCACGCGCCTTTTCGGCTGGAGACGACGGCGCGTCGCCAGCGGGCCGGGACGCCGACAGCGAGGTCCGCCCCCGCCCTCGAGACGGCCGCGGCTTCGCCCCGCCGCCGATCAGGCTCGCCACGGCGCCAAAGAAGCCGCCGCCGTCGGCGTTCGGAGGACGGCTGCGCGGCGGCGCGGGGTCCTGGGCTCGAGCAAAGGAGAGCGCGAGCTCTTGGAAGCGCGCCCGGAAGAAGGACGCCTCGTCGCGCGCCTCGCCCTCCCGCTCGACCGCCTGTGCGAGCCGCGCCTCGCCCATCTCGCTCGCCTGCTGCTCCCTCTGCGCGGCGAGCGCTGCCTCGTCACGCCAGTGGCTCACCGCTGTCTGCAGCTCGACCTCGCGCGCGGCGGCAGCGGCTCGCTCCTCGGCTTGCGCCCGCTCCAGCGCCGCGTTCCGCTCCTCCGCCTTTCTCAGCGCGGCCGTCAGCTGCGCGAGCTCAGCCGCCAGTGCCGCCTGCTTGCGTCCCGCCTGGCGCGTGAGCTCCGTGTGGAGCTTGGTCAGCTCCGCCTCGCGGGCCGCCCAGGAGGCGGTCGCTTCTTCGGTGCGCTTGGCGGCAGCGGCCCTCTCCTGCTGCTGCCGCCGCTTCACGCTCGCCTCGCGCTCAAACGACGCCTTCCGTCGCAAGCCGACGGCCCCGCGGGTGGCCGCGCGCTCTGCCTCCTGCTGCGCCTGGAGCGCCGCAATCTGCCGCTCGCGCTCCTCCTCCTTCTCGCGCAGCGCGGCCCGGCGCCGCAAGCTGCGGCGCGCGAGCAGTCCGCGAGCGGCGGCCTGGACGACGGCGATCAGCCCGGCCAGCCGCGCCTCGCGCTTGGCCTTGCAGTGCGCCGCGACGCCCGCGCCCAGGAAGACCTTCGTGTGCCCGAGCGCCGTGGCCTCGTCCGCCACGTCAAACGCGCGCAGGATGGCGGCGCACGCCCCGCGCTCCCACGCGGTCGGCGCGTCTCCCTGCGACGGCGGCCCTCCCGGCGGGTGCGGCGGCAGCTTCGAAGGCGCAACCACCGAGCAGTAGGTGCCGACAAAGTCTCGTATGGGCATCCGGTCGGGGAAGCCACTCGCAAAGACACGCACCGCCTCGAGGACGCCGCCGCACCGAAGCTGCCGCATCACCACCGGCTCCTCGAAGCAGCGCGCCGCCTTGCGCACGTTCGGCTTGATGCAGCGCACAAAGTGCGCCGTCGAGCTGCGTATCACCCGCAGCAGCTCGTCGAGCTCTGCGGCGTAACCGCCGACCACACCGCGGAAACCTCGACCGCCGCGTTTGCCCGCCTGGCGAGAGGAGCGCTCCGGCGTCATTCCGACGCGCCGTCCGCGCGCCTCTCGGCGCTAGAGCGCAGAGCGCAGGCGCTAGAGCGCAGGCGCTAGAGCGCAGGCGCTAGAGCGCAGGCGCTAGGCACTCGCCTGAGGCGCGGCCGCCTCTTGCGCGAAGAGCGTTGCGACGAAGGGCTCGCCTGGGGCGAGGGAGGGAGGCGGCAGGGTGAGAGTTGAGGTGGCGTCGCGGAGCCGCCGCGGCGGGGCCGCTCGCTTGAGGTGCGGAGGAGGACGAGGAGGTCCTCCGAGAAGGGCGCCTACTCCTCACGGGAGGCTGTGAACGGCGCCTCGTCAGAGGCGGACGAGGAAGGAGGCGGGTCCGGGCCTTGTTCTTGTTTAAGAAGCCACTGGCCTGGTATTTTACGCTGCCGGCGTAGTGGGCGACGCGGAAGGCGGAGCCCTCGGGCTGCAGCACGGAGAGGCGCGAGTGCTCCTTGTTCGCCGCGTGCAGCTTGGCGACGAAGGACTCGTCCGTCCCCTTGGGGAAGACGCACTCCTCGTTGAGGAGGGCAAACAGGCCGCTGTGCGGCGCCGAGAAGAGGGCGATGGTCGAGACGTTCGAGACCGCCTCGGCGTCGAACTGCGGCGGCGGCACGCCCTCGGCCTCGGCCTCGGCCTGCGCCGCGCTGAAGATGATCGAATTGAAGATGGCCTGCAGATGCTCGTTGCTGAAGTTGATCAGGAGCTGCTCGAGCGAGTTGGACTCGAAGTCCTCAAAGCCGAAGATGTCGAGCAGCCCGACAAACGGCCCCGCGCCGCTCCCTCCTCCGCCCTCGCCGCCGCCGTCCGAGCCGGCAACCTGCGGCGAGTCGTTGATGGCTGCGACGAGCCGGTCGAAGAGTCGGCTGTACAGCGCCTACCGCGACAACACACGCACGCTCCGAGCCGTGCCCAGAGCGAGAGCTCCGACCCGCTTCTCAGAAGTCGACGCCTTGGCGAGCCCATCTCGCACCTCTGCGGCGGCGGCGCACGTCTGAGGGGTCTGAATGAACTCCCCGCCCGCCTGAGGGAGGCTTCGGGGGAGGCTCGGTGGAGGGCGAGGCGAGGGTGGACTGCCTCCCACCGCCGCCCTCCTTGAGGCAGCGCGTGGTGACTGCCGAAGAGAGCGCCGTGTGCGAGACGCCGAGAAGCTGCGCGGCCGCCTGCTTCCACACCTGGAGGTGTGAAGAGACGCCGTTCACAGGTGGAGGTGTGAGGAGACCTCGCGCGGCCGCCTCGAGGGAGGCGGCGCTCTCTCCCTCGTCCACGCGCGCCACCTCCGTGCCGCCGTCCGCCGCCGCCGAAACGACCACATTCCCCAGCCTCAGCACCGCCGCCAGCACGCGCCACGCCTGCCACTGCGTCGCTCGCGGCGTGCCGAGCAACTCGAGCGCGGCGCCAATCTCGCTTAGCGCCGAGGCGTCGCGAGCAGCCTCGTCGGCGGCAGCCGGGCCGCCAACGGCGTCGGACGTCGCGATGTATGTGTACCCGTTCGGGGCGAGGCAGTCGAGCTGCAGCTCGGCGGCCTCCGTCGAGGAGAGGCCTGCGAGCAGGGCGTAGAAGACGTGGAAGCTGCGCTCGGCGGGCGCGACTCGCACGACCCTTGTCTGCTCGAGGAGGAAGGTCGAGAAGGAGGCGCCCTGCAAGCGCGCCGTCTTGTCGTACCGGAGCGTCAGGAATTTGCCGTACCGCGAGGAGTTGTCGTTCATCACGGTCCGCGCGTTGCCAAACGCCTCGAGCACGCAGCTGGTCTGGCTAAGCGCCTCGTGCAGCGCGCGCGTGTCAGCGGCGCCACCGCGGTTCGCGGCGTGCGCGAGGTACTGCAGCAGACGCCGGCAGGTCTCCGTCTTGCCAGCTCCAGATTCGCCTGTAACCAGCACAGACTGCGACTGCGAGCTCAGCAGCCCGCTGAACGCCTCGGCTGCAACGGCAAAGGCGTGCGGCGGCGGCGGCGGCCCTCCGTTTCCCACGCGACAGTACTCGTCGAGCACGGCAGTCGAGTACAGCCCGAGCTCCTCGTATGGGTTGATGCTTATGAGCATCGAGTTGACGCGCGTGTAGATGCGGCGGCGGCTGTAGCGATCCTCGAGGATGCTGGCCACCGCGGCGTCATCGAGACTGTTGAGCGTGGCGAGGTCGTCCGTCTCCGGCATTGTGTGGGTCGGCCCGACAGGAACGGCCTGGGGCGAGGCCCTGATGGGCCGACCAGGGGGCGGCGGGAGAGGGGGGGAGGGGAGAGGGTAAGCTGTGAGTCCTCGGTAGGCCGACTCTCCCAAATTCCCTGCCAACAAACAGACAGAGGGGGGGGTGGGGGAGGGCATTGCCGTGGAAAAGAAGAAAAATCGCCCGGCCGAAACAAGTTCTCTTTATTTACAAACCTGGCACTAAAAAGACTAAAACAGCCCTGGGAGGGATGGGAGGACGGCACACGCCGCCACCACACCTCTGAGGGGGCGCGGGGGCCCCCGGAGGCACCGTGCGCCGCGCAGCAGTGCGGAAACGGGGCTCTGGCTCTACTAGTCTCAACAAACACATACTAGCACCGACTTCCCGATTAAGGACGGTTAAGTAGAGGGCAGATTTGGAAAGATCTCGAGGAGCACACACAGATAGACCCTCCAACCATCAGAAAACTCCGACCTGATCGGTCGTACTGACCGCCGACAGATCACTCCAGACAGCAGACAGGCCGACGTCTGCACGCGGCCGGCCGGGCGAGAGGCTTGACACGATCCGACCCTGCGACCCTGACGCTGCTGCTCTAGCTATCAGACATGCACTGCTGACTGCTGCCACAATGTGCGATCTGTGTCGATTCCGCATGTGGTACAGGACCCCTCGATCGTCTCGCCCTCCCTCACTGGTGTGTTCACATAGCTTAGCGAGTAACTCGGAGTAAAGGCCGGCGCTGCTCGCCGCGACAATGGCCGCGACCACAACTGCGAGGACGGCGACAGCCCTTCGAGTTCGCGCGGATTTCGTGAACTCCGAACTCGAACGAACGCAGCCACCGCGCCGGCTGTGGAAGGCGCGAACTGCGAAAACGAACGAACGTTGGCGGCAGGAAAAAAGACGCTGTCCATCGCCAAAAGTTCTCGTAGCGCCGCCCCTCACGAGTACTCTGATGCTCCGGCCTCCGGGCCGACCTGAATCGGTCGACGGTCCGCCTGCCTCCTCGTGTCCCGCACCGACCACCGTTCTTACTTACCCATCCATAAACCCACTTTGACCTCACTGTACACTGAAAAGCGGATGCTTCAATCCTGAATCCTCACAGATTTTAGAGGATTAGCATTCTTGGCGCGCTGCGGACCCCCTGGGTGCTGCGTGCTGGGCCTGGGGGAGCCCTGCAATCGTATCGCTATCCGCGCCTATCTGACTATCGGAGTGGGGGCTGACCCGATAGAAACTTAGAAGTTTTATGCGATTGCGCGTTCGATAGGACGTCCGTGTCCATCTCGGTTTCCTATATTCGACGTCCTGCTCATATGCGTTTCCGGGTTCACACGTGCCACGATTCGTTTCCACTTTCCTGTGTTCCGTTGGGGTCTCGTGGGCTCTGGCTGTTCCAGAGTTCCACCGAGCACCGTCCCTGAGCCCTGACGCGAAATCTTTGCGCTCTCCTTTTTACATTATACAACAAAAATAGATTATAAGAATTGAACTATTGACAAGATATGAATCCATTCAATGAATTGCAAGACTTCAGCAAGATGCAAGGACGTCTTACAGTACAGTACGATGGTGTTTTAGCGAGCGGGTGGGGAACTGGGATCGATCGAGAGAGAGGGAGGGAGGGAGGGGGGGGGGGGAGAGAGAGAGAGAGAGAGAGAGAGAGAGAGAGAGAGAGAGAGAGAGAGAGAGAGAGAGAGGGAGGTCGAGACTCACAACGCGAGAGAGAGGGAGAGACGGAGAGAGCACAGGGGCTCCGGCGGTCCGACGTGTGTGACGGCTCGCGACATGCCACACATGGCCACATGCAAAGCGTGCTCGACACGAGTGGTGCAGTCGCCCGCCCAGTCAGGCACGGCACGAAAGCGCGTGCGCGAGAACCGCACGGGTGGATAGGCGGGTTGTTCGGATGGCGGAGAGGGTCAAGCGGAGCCGGGCGTCTCCGCGCGCCGCAGCCAGAGCGCTCAGCCCCATCGCACCACGGCAGACCCCCAGGAGAGGCCGGCGCCAAACCCCGCCATGGCGATGACGTCGCCCTTCTTCACCTTGCCGGCGCGGACGGCCGCGTCGAGCGCGAGCGGGATGGAGCCCGCCGAGGTGTTTCCGTACTCGTCGAGGTTGTTGATCACCTTGCTCATCGGGATCTTGAGCTTCTTCGCCACCGTCTCCATGATGCGGATGTTGGCCTGGTGCAGTAGCAGCCAGTCCACCTACGCGGTCGCGCCACGCCCGTCTCACGCGAGCCGCGCGGCCTCGCGCTACTCCGCCACGCGCAGCTCGCCTCGTCGGCAGTGACGCCCGCGTTCTCGAGCGCCTCCCCCACCACCTCGGGCACGCGCGAGGTTGCAAACTTGTACACCTCCTTGCCGACCATCGAGATGGGCGCGTACGTCCCCGTGGTGACGGACGCGACCGACGCGAGCGGCCGCTCTGCACCGGCGTACCCGAGGCAGAGGTCGGGCCGTCCGGCGCCTGCGGGGCAGGGGGCGGGTGGGTGGGGGTGGGGTGGGGTGGGGGGAGACGGGGCGGGGGCGGAGGCTGCGGGAGAGGGCGGAGGCAGTGTGGGCGGAGGGTCGGTGCCAGTGCCGAGGTCTGGCCTGGGGGGCGGGCGAGTGCGGCGTGCTATATATAGAGAGAGCCGTTCGAGTGCAGCGCGAAGCCGAGCACGCCTTCCTCTCCCTCGCCGTCGACGGCGGCCTGGGGGGGCGGACGGGCGGAGGGAGAGGGGTCGAGGCGGGAGGGCGACGGGAGAGGGCGCCGTAGGGGCGGAGGCTCGCCAGTGACACGGCTGCACGCGGGCGGAGGGGGCGGAGGGGCGGAGGGGCGGAGGGGCGGAGGGGCGGAGGAGAGGAGGGGCGGAGGAGAGGAGAAGAGAAGGGGCGGAGGAGAGGAGGAGAGAAGGGGCGGAGGGGCGAGGCCTCGCCTGCAGCACGACTGCACCGGCGCCGTCGCCAAACAAGACGCACCTTTCGGGCCAGGTGGAGGCGTCGGGCGAGGTGAAGGGTGCAGCTCCACTCCCCCCCCCCCCTCTCTCTCTCTGTGTGTGTGCGGGGGGGGGGGGGGGACTCCGAGCTCCCTCCCTCCCTCCCTCCCTCCCTCCCTCCCTCCCTCCCTCCCATCCCCTCCCTCCCTCCCATCCCTCCCCTCCCCTCCCTCCCCCGCAGCGCACGTGTTGCGATCGCTCCAGTCCACCCAGCGGGAGAGAGCGTCGGCGCCGATGACGAGCGCCGTCTTATACGCGCCAGTGTGCAGGAACTGCGACGCGGTGGTGACGCCGAAGAGGAAACCTGCGACGGCGGGCGGCGGCGGCGTCGGGAGAAAGAGCGGCCGCCTCCCTCGCCCGCGCAGCGCGGCTGCCGGAGCACGCAGCGGTGAGGTCGAAGGCGACGGCGCCGGTGGCGCCAACCTCGCGCGCGACGTGCGCGGCGTCGCCAAACAGGTCGTCCGGGCTCGAGGTCGCCAGCACCACCAGCTCCACCGAGGCCGCGTCCACGCCGCTGCTCTCGAGCGCTTTTTGCGCCGCCCGCGCCGCGAGCGTGGAGAGGCCCTCGCCGGGCGCGAGCAGGTGGCGCTGCCGGATGCCCGTCCGCTGGGAGATCCAGTCGTCCGAAGTCTCGACCACAGACGAGAGCTGCGACGAGGCGGCGGGGAGCGCTCAGCTCCTGTGCGAGCCAGCGGGAGCGGGAAGAGGAGGCGGCGGGCTCACCTGCTCGTTGGTCACGACGGTGTCCGGCGCAGCCGAGCCGATGCCAACGAGACGCGAGCGGAGCGCACCGCGGTGAGCCTCGACAGCGCGTGGCGCCGCGCTCCTGAGATCCAGGGGTGGCGCACTCGGTGGGTTTCCGCGGTCTTCTGTCGGTTTCTCTGCACCGGCGGCCGGAAACCTGCTCCTCTGGACGCGTGCCGTGCTCGCAGGCACGGCGCCGAGCTGCTGAGACAGTCCGACCGCGCTTGCGATTAGCAGAAGCCGCATCGCTGTCGTTACTGCGGTCACACGCCTGTTCCGATCCTCGTGCACCTCAGGGGTGCCCTCTCGGAAGAATTCTTTCAACAGCCTCTCACAGCACACTGGCACGACAAGGGCGCGGACTGGCGCGGACTTCTCTGCGGACGAATTTTGCGGCGTCTGCACGGGACTAAATCCCTGTATTAAAATCCCTGTGTGGTGGCGGCGTGCCGTCCTCCCATCCCTCCCTTGGCTGTCTATTTTCTTTCTTTCTGGGCACGCACGGGACTGGCGCGCACTGGCGCTAACACAGGTAAAGAAAGAAAGAAAGAACACAGGGAATCCAAGGGAGGGAGGGATGGGAGGACTAACACAGGTACACAGAAGAATTGCCGCTCACCTCAGCAACACCTCTTTCTTTTCGCCCTTAAACTCTTTCTTTGCCCTGGGTGTGAGGACTGAGGTTACCAACCAATCGCACTCCAAGACCAAGTAAGTGCTCCAAGAAAGAGCCGGGTTGCGCCGTGACCCGTGAGGCCGAGGTCGCGAAATAAAGAGGGCCGATCCGTGCGAAAGCGGCTTGTTTTTCGGCGCTGCTTTCTTTTTGCCTGCATCCTATCTTTCAGGGGCGGCGTGGCTCCGCGCTAAGCGCAAGAAAGCTGATGGCAGCAGAAGAGGCCGCGAACGCTGAGCCCGTCCCAACGGTGCGCGCCACCGGCGGCGACGCCACACACACACGGCCTTCTGCTGCGCGTGTGCGTGCCTCGGGACGGGGCTGCGGCGGCAGCCAAGCACAGAGGGCAGAGGCGGTCTCAGCGCCTGCGCCGGGAGCGCTGCACGCAGAACCGATGGTGTTCTGCTGCTTTTGCGTTCCGCGTGACTCCAACCCCCGCCTGTCCCGGCGGTAGGATGCCGGGCCCGTCGAGGAGAAGCCCAAGGACGAGAAGCCAAAGGAGATCAAGAAGGTCAGCAAGCCAGACGACCCTCTCAAATGGACTGCTCTGGCGCTGGCCCTAGAATTCCTAACGCAGGCAAGCAAAGCACCGGAGCCGGCCCGCCTATATGCGACGCAGTCGTGAGAACGGCAATGCACTCACGTTGGAGCTCCGCGTGCACAATGCCGCTCTCCGCATCTGGACTGCTCCGCGTGCAAGCTCTTTCAACGTTTGCCGCGCCTACGAGCGCCGTAACTAGCCCTCCTGGCCATCCAGCTCGCCGCGACCCTTGTGCCGGATCGCCTCCACCGTCGCCGTCACAAGAGACGCCTGGTCGGGGGGGGGGAGGGGGGGTCGCCCTCGCCGGCGCCACCTGCACGTGCACCGCGGCCGCCCTGTCACAGGCGACCACTGCTGTGCCATGTCGCGGGGGCGAGTTCCTAATGGTTGGCCGTGAGGCCCGAGGTTTGCGGGGACCGGGGGTCCCGCGCCGGCGCCGCCGCCAACGGGGGCCGCCGCGCCATAGAGCGGCGCCCCGGTGCCCCTACCGGCATTGCACGCGTCCGCGCTCAGAGGCGCTAGCTGCACGTCCGCGAGAGACCGGTTGACTCGCCCGCTGGAGGTGTGGTTCACGGGGCTTGCGTCGGGGTCCCCATCGTCCGGAGAGCTCGCCGACGGCGAGAGAGATGCCCCACGAGGGGTCGCGGTGGCGTCCATCGCCAGGCTCCCTAGCTCAACCGACGACCCTCGTGCCTCGGGATCGACGGCCGATCGTCATCGGGGCGGCGCGCGCTGGCTGGTGGGCCAGCGGCGCCGCCGCGTGCAGCCGTGAACTCGGCGGCGGCCGGGCGCGGAGGCCGAGTTGTGCCTGAAGCGCCTCCTTCTCCTTGCGCATCTTGTCCATCTTGTTGAGTCTCTCCACCGTCGCTCGCACATCGGCCAGTTCGGCCAGGATGGCAGCATGCACTTGCGGCGAGACGCTCGCGTGGCCCTGCTCGCCCCCTCGCGGCGCCTCGGGCCGCGGCCCGTGGGGCGTCCCGCCGGGGAAGGCGGTGTGTAGTGGCCCGTCATGGCCTTGGTGTTGGTGCTCTCTGGCAGAGCCTTCGGCTCTGCGCACATATCGTCACCCGCAGCCACAGGCGGGAGGTTCGGCCCGCCATGGCGCGGCTCGTGCCGGCGCGCGGCCCAGCCAACGCCGGGGGCTCCAGGTGGGGGTTGGGGTCAACTACCGGAGGAGGCGAGAGACGAGCTGGCTCGGCCTCTGCGAGTGGAGTCGGGACACACGAACTCGCCGGGGGCAGATCCGTCGCGGCGGCACAGCCGGACCATCGTGAACTACGACAAGGAGGGCCGCGACCCCCCGAGCTCGACGAGGAGCCGGTGGAGGGGGGGGGCGAGCCGAGTACGATAGAGAGACCGCGGATGCGGGCGCGACTCGTCGACCAAGGAGAGCCGGCCCGACCCCCCGGGGAGGGGAGGCGACACGACCCAACGCCACCGCCCTCGCCCGGGGAGTCGGGCACGGGATCGCCGGAGGCGGAGTCAACAGGATCAGGCAGAGAAGACGAGACGGCGACGGGGCCGCGGCCGAAGAAGCATAAGAGGGGAAGGCGGGCTCCGCAGCCGCTGCCCGACCAGCGGAAAGCGAGCCGAGGGGAGGACCGGGAGGATAGGAGAGCCCCAGAGGCCAGAGGGGTGACGTCGAGTGGGGATGTACGTCGTGTGCGTGTCTGGCTGGGGTGTCCATTATAGCTCCGAGTAGAGGGGGGGTGCTCCGCAGCTAGGGGAAACCCAAAGCGCAGACCAACCCTCGGAGACCCGTGTTTACTTTACGGCCCTTTCCCTGCGAACGCGCACCCCCCAGGGCTAGGGCTCTCTAGCCCGCAACCCGATGCCGATCATCTGGCCTGAGGGAGGGTGTAGCTAGGGGTGTGTAGAGGATGTAGAGTGTAGAGCGCTGTAGAGATGTAGAGATGTAGAGTGCTCTGGAGCGCTGTAGAGCTGTAGAGCTCTACATCCGCCGCGTGACGAGGCGGGTGCGTTGTAGAGCGATGTAGAGGCGCTCTACAACGTGAAATCTCTACAACAAACTCTACATCGTAAGCGGCGAACGAGGCACGGTCGCTCTCCGACATGAGGCGCGTTGCACTTGCCAGTGCTGCCCTGGCGTTCTGTCTGCCCGCCCAATGGGTGGCAGGTGCCTCTGCTGCTGTGGCATGCCTCACGGCTGCGACTGGCCGGCGCCTCGGCGCGTCAGCTCGGCTCGGCGTAGCGATAGTGGCCAGCGCAACTCGCCTGGACTCAACGCTCAGCCAGGAGCTCCCGCACGCGCTGGCGCGAGTCATGGCGCATGCAACGCGCAGCAATGCCCGCCTCGCCTCGCGCAAATGCGATCGTCCTCGCAGCCGACAGTCCACCGCCTGCTAACGAAGCACAGCGACGAATGCGGCACCGGCGACGCATGGCAGGCTGGTCATGACGCAGTTATAGGGTGTTGTGTGCCGTCAGAGTGACTCTCTGTGTGTCAGGGATAGTCAGGGCCGTCCATCAGAGCTCCAGTAAGCTCGGAGACACCCCATTAGTGCGACTCGACCTCTTTGAGTCACTGCCTTCCCGGCGGTTTGGCTGTAGAGCCTCTACAACCAACTCTACAGCAAAATCGCGCTCTACATCGCTCTACATCGGACTCACATCGTCACGCGCCGGATGTAGAGCTCTACAGCTCTACAGCGCTCTACAGCTCTACAGCTCTACAGCTCTACAGCGCTCTACACTCTACATCCTCTACACCCTCCCTCAGACTCTTTCTTTCTTTGCCCTGGGTGTGAGGACTGAGGTTACCAACCAATCGCACTCCAAGACCAAGTAAGTGCTCCAAGAAAGAGCCGGGTTGCGCCGTGACCCGTGAGGCCGAGGTCGCGAAATAAAGAGGGCCGATCCGTGCGAAAGCGGCTTGTTTTTTGGCGCTGCTTTCTTTTTGCCTGCATCCTATCTTTCAGGGGCGGCGTGGCTCCGCGCTAAGCGCAAGAAAGCTGATGGCAGCAGAAGAGGCCGCGAACGCTGAGCCCGTCCCAACGGTGCGCGCCACCGGCGGCGACGCCACACACACACGGCCTTCTGCTGCGCGTGTGCGTGCCTCGGGACGGGGCTGCGGCGGCAGCCAAGCACAGAGGGCAGAGGCGGTCTCAGCGCCTGCGCCGGGAGCGCTGCACGCAGAACCGATGGTGTTCTGCTGCTTTTGCGTTCCGCGTGACTCCAACCCCCGCCTGTCCCGGCGGTAGGATGCCGGGCCCGTCGAGGAGAAGCCCAAGGACGAGAAGCCAAAGGAGATCAAGAAGGTCAGCAAGCCAGACGACGCTCTGCTGAAGCAGCGTCTGCAGGAGCAGGACGACAAGCTCGTGGACAAGCAGGCGCGGCTGGAGCAGATCAAGGCGACGGTGGACACGCGCAACCAGCCGACCGAGAACGCCGAGTTCACGGCCGCTCGCAGCAAGTTCAACGTGGTCCGCGCCGAATCGCGCCGGCTGCTGCAAGAGAAGCGGTCCATCTATGACCAGATCTCCTCGGCGGACGAGCTCAAGAAGCAGCAGCAGGACCTGACCCAGCGGCTAAAGGCGGAGCTGCAGTTCTTCTCCGTCGAGGACATCGAGCGGAAGATCAAGGTGCGGAGCGCGCGCGGAGGGACACCACTCCCCCACAGGGCGGCGGCGGCTCGGCGGCCGCCGGCCGGACGCAGCCAGCGGCCACTCTCGCTCGGGCCACGCCTCGGCGGCGGCGCGCGGCGCACGCGCCGACACCCGTGGCCTCGCCTCACAGGCGCTGGAGATGCAGCAGCAGACCACCTCCACCTCGGTCAAGGAGGACAAGAAGATCATCGAGGACATCAAGCGGCTCGCCGCAAACAAGCCAATGATCAAGCAGTTCGACGAGGCGCAGGAGTCGCTGCGCGGGGTCAAGGAGCACCACAACGAGCTGTACACCCAGCTCAAGGCCAAGAACGCCGAGCTCAACTCCTCCAAGGAGGAGGAGGAGAAGTGGCGCGCCGAGATGGACGCGGCCAAGGCGAAGGAGGACGCAAAGCGCTCCGACCTGCCCGCCCTCTACAAGGAGCGCGACCAGCTGCGCAAGGAGATCGGCGAGATCCGCGACGAGGCGCGGCGGAGGGCCCCGCACCCGCACCCCCGCCGCGCGTCTATCCTCGACCGGCTCCTCCTCTCCTCCCTCTCCCCCGGCCCTCGCCCCGCCCTCGCCCCGGCCCTCGCCGCCCTCGGACCGCCCTCGCCCTCGCCCCGCCCTCGCCCCCGGCGGCGTCCCTCCCTCGGTCCGCACCCGGTCGGGCCGCCACCCACCGCAGTTTCGTCTTCGACCATCGCCGCCCGCGCGCAGGTGCGCCGCATCCGCGACGAGCACAACGAGCAGCGCAAGGAGTGGTTCGCCTACACCAAGGCGATCCGCGAGCAAAAGCAAAAGGAGTGGGAGGCGCGCAACGCGGCGCGCGAGGCGGAGCGGGAGGCGTGGCGCCTGGCTAAGGAGGAGGAGGAGGCGAAGCGCGACCCGTGGGAGGAGGAGAAGTACCTCTGCGAGCAGCTCATCAGCTATGTCGAGAAGTACCTGCCCAAGGCCGCGGTCGAGGTGGAGGCCAAGAAGGAGGTCTCGCCTGAGGAGGCGCCAAAGGGCACCAAGGTGCTCAAGCGCGACGACGACGACGACTACCTCGCCGCGCTCAAGTCGAAGAAGGGCAAGCGGAAGGGCGGCACGGCCGGCCCGGGCGGCGGCGCGGCGGCGCCGCACAAGCCGAAGCCGACCAAGCTCAGCCACTCGGTCGACTCGCTCGCCTCGTTCGCAAAGCTGGGCTTCACCGCGCCGGCCTCGTCGGACGACTGCCCCGCACTGCACACGGAGCTGCTCGCCAAGCGCGAGTGGCTCAAGACGGCGCCGCCCAAGAAGAAGAAGGAGAAGAAGGAGGAGAAGGCGGAGGAGAAGGAGGAGAAGGAGGAGGAGAAGGAGGAGGAGGCGGCCGAGGGGGCCTCGGCGTCGGGGGAGGCGCCGGCCTTTGACGAGGCGGCGGACCTGAAGAAGAAGCAGGAGGACCTGGCGCGCAAGGCCAAGGAGGCGGCCGCGGTGGAGGAGGAGCGCGTGCGGAAGATGCAGGAGCTCGAGGCGTCGGGCAAGAAGGCGGCGGGCGGCCTGCACAAGTTTGACGCCTCGGAGGTGGACGTGCACGGCGGGGACGCGACGGCCGACGACCTGATGGACGCGTTTGGCTTTGGCGACGTGGGCGAGGGCGGCGGCGACGAGGAGGAGGCGCCTGGGCCGGCGCCCGCAGCGGCGGAAGCGGCTGCCAACGGGTCGTCGGAGCTGGTCACGATCCAGGCGACCTCGGAGAGCACCGTGAAGGTTGGTCTCCACCTCGGGGGGGAGGCGGCGGGCGAGGCGCCCGCCGCCGGTGCGGCGGCGCCGGCCTTTGACGAGGCGGCGGACCTGAAGAAGAAGCAGGAGGACCTGGCGCGCAAGGCCAAGGAGGCGGCCGCGGTGGAGGAGGAGCGCGTGCGGAAGATGCAGGAGCTCGAGGCGTCGGGCAAGAAGGCGGCGGGCGGCCTGCACAAGTTTGACGCCTCGGAGGTGGACGTGCACGGCGGGGATGCGACGGCCGACGACCTGATGGAGGCGTTCGGCTTCTGAGCAGCCCTCGAAACGCTGCACCCCGCCTAGCTCGTCACACCCCACCCGCCGCCGCCGCTGTGCGTCAGACGGCAGCTCAGAGAGCGTATGCGCCGTCGGGGTGTTTTGTTTTTGGAGCGCTTGGAGCACTTTGCTTGTTCCTCTCTTGCTTTTATCATCCTTTCAGATGAGTTATCTCGCGCACCATGTGCGGTGTGCTGTGCGCGGTATGCAGCACATGCCCAGGCTGGTTTGCACTTTTTGGTCTTTGCAGCATGCAGTTCATGCAGGCGCGCCGCCGCAGCGGGGGGCCTCTAGAGGCCACGCTCTCGCGACGCTCCATCCACCCTCCACCGGTCCACGCACCACGCTCCGGCTCGACGTGGCTATAGGGTGCCCACACATAGCGGGCGGGGAGGCTGCCCTAAAAGGATGGCAGCCATCGGCATCGCGTAAAGGAAAGGCGCGCGGGCGAGGCCATCGACCGCGTCCCGTCGCCCCCGTTTGCCACGTTCCTGTCACTTGGCTGTCTCCACACTCCAGACTCTTGATGTCTACGTGGATTACGAACCGCCGAAATTCGCACAATGTGGTCCCACGCCCGCCACATGAGTCATGACGCCCACCGCCGCCGCGTTGGTCGGCGCGCGCGCCGACGCCGACCATCACCACCGACCGACGGCTTGCACGGCCGTGCGGTGAGCAAAAATTTGGATCGCTGCGCGCCTGCCGGGTGCTCTGCGACGTCTGGACGCTCGCCAGAAACGCCAGGAAGCTTGCCTTCCACCCCTGGGCCCGAGGGCGAACGGCAGTGGTCGCTGGTCGGCTGCAGCCTCTGCGACGCTCCGATCGGCTCCTCGACCTCATCGCCTGCGACGAGCCAGCATGGCTCGTCGCTCGACGGCAGCCTGCTCAGTATGCTCTCGGCATTCTGTACAGCCTCGCCAGGCTCTCTGAGACGGCCTGCAGGGCCGGCGCGGACCGCCTCGGGCGCGATGGCCCTCCTCAGTACCTACCTGCGGCTACCTCTTCGATGCCTGTCGGCTCTCCAATCTCGTCGCCGGCGGCAGGCCCGCATGGCGCGCTGCTCGATGGCAGCCTGCTCAGTACGCCTTGGACAGTGACTTCTGCCTCCTGCTCTTACTGCAGCCGCCTCCGGGGCCGGCGCCGGCCGCCTCGCTTCGCCAGTGCTGTCTACGCCTGCGACACGCGTGTCGGCTCGCCGCCCGCGTCGCCCGCGGCGGGCCCGCATGGCGCGCCGCTCGCCGGGAGCGTGCCCAGCAGGCTGTGCAGGGCAGTCTGCCTCACTCAGGGCGCCGCCGCCGCTGCGCGGGGCCGCCACCAGCGCCGTGAACACTGCCGCCGTGTACGTCACCATCGCCTCTCTTCGTCGCCGATCTCGCCGACGCCGCTCGCCGCTCGCCGCCGCCCTGCCCTGCCCCGCCCAGCCCTCGCACAAACAAACCAACACACACACACACACACACACACACACACACACACACACACACACACACACACACACACACACACACACACACACACAACTCCTTGCCCCCGCGCCCTCCCGCCTCACGCCCTGCGCCTCACGCCGCGCGTCCCACGCACGCCCCGCGCCCCGCGCCCCCACGCCCCTCACCTCGCGCCTCACGCCTCCCTCCCCACCCTCTCAGGCATTTCTCCTCCCTGCTGCTCGCCGACTCCTCCTCCCCCCGCAAGCCCCCGCATGACCGACGACTACCCGTCCTTCGGCGACTCCTCCCTCTTCGGCGCCAACGCCTACTACCCGTTCGGCCCGGTGAGGGGCGGGAGCGCAGCCATTCCAATGGCTGGGAAAGTTTCTTGAACGGCCGTGCATGCGCCTGCATGCCGGCTTACTAAGCTCTAAGGAGGTCCCTCGCTCCCGCTCCTCTCTCGGAAGACGCGCGCCGGCCTGGGGGACTCGCTTGCGATCCCGCTCCAGCCAGAGGCCGCGTGAGGCGTGCGGGGACGCAAGTCCACCAACCTCGGCCATTCCAACGGCCAGACCGCTCGCTTAAGGCTGATTGGCTAGACGAGCGGTCTACCTCCACGGGGCTGCTGGCGTCCGCCTTCAGCCTCCCTGACCCGACGGGGACGCCATCACCCTCGCCCAGGGATCTACATGCTGTCTCAATGTCCGACAGGTTCGGCACCGGGCACCGCCTCGGTATACAAAATGCGCCTGCGGGCGACCTTCGGATCACCGAGCACACTCCACAGACGGAAATCCGGATTCCAACAGTGCCCGAAGTCGCGCGTGAACAGGAGTGCCGCGAAGAATGGCGATCCACTCGCTCTCGGTGCAGCTGCTGGCCCTCACTCCCCCGCCACTACGCACCGACACGCTCCGCCCTGGCGTGCTGCTGCGGCTCGGCGGGTTTGGCGCGACCGCGGGGCCGCTGGTTGACGCCGTCCACAACCAGGCGCTACTGCGGTATGATGTGCTACCCGTGTCGCTGCCGCTGCCGCTGGGCGAGGCGCGGACGAGCCTGCTCATCCCGCCGCTCCTGGCTCTCACCTACGCGGTCCTCGGTGGCGCGCTTCCCGCCGCTGCTGAGCGTGTAGTTGGGACACGCCGGCTCAGCACGATGGCAGAGTACGCGCCGCCAGCACGAGCCGCCGCCGCTGTCGCGTCGACTGTGGCCATCATCAAGCTATCAGAAATACTGCAGCTCTCGGCGCTCGCTCCCAGCTCCTCTCTTGCGCTGCTGGCCATCGCCTGCACGATCCAGTGGGCAGCGCTCGATGGCACACTCGCCTCTGCAGTGCTGGTGCGCTAGCCCACGCAGCAGCTCTCTATTCCCCCCCCCCCCCCCCGGCCTGCGTGACCTGCTCCCGGCACCCAGGCGCTGCTTGTCGGCCTTGTCGGCCCTCTCGCCGAGCTGCCGTTCATCTTTGCGGGGGCGTGGCACTACCTTCCCGAGGCGGCAGACTACGTCCCGCTCGGTCTCGACCCCTCGTGGGCCGCGCTCTCGTCCATCACCGGGCCGTGCTATTGCGCAGTCACGCTCGACTCCATCGCGCTCGGCCGCTGCTTCGCTGCTTTTGCTGCAGACGAGCGATCATTAGGTCCGGCGGCGGCCGCGGAGGGCGATATGTTGGACAGGTGAGTAAATGCAAGTCTTAACCCCTAAACGGCTACCGAAACGGGGTGCCCGGAAGGGCGATATCACGGCGGCCTAACTGTGCCTCCGTGCGCTCGCCACATACCCCCTGCTGCCCGAGGGTCGTGTTAGCACTTTATTGGGCACATACAGAGGCGGTGGGAAGCCACCACGTTCCCTTTAAATTTTCCGCCACAGAGCTCCGGAGCGCGCTCTGCAGACTGCACGAGCTCCTGGAGGACGCGGTTTCGTCTTTCGATCCCAGACGGTCGTCGCACGTCGGCGCCCCAGTGAGGTCCGCCGTCATAGGTGTAGCACGCTACTAGACACACTGCCTCCAAGTTGAGCGGTGGAAAATTGTGACGAAGCCACGCACCGAAGCGCCGGCGTCCCTGTGGCAATCTGCCACCGACAGCAACACACGCCTTTGATCACCGGCTGCTTGCGCTCCGCATACTCTCCAGAAGCTGTTGGTTGTGTGGCTGGTGCTACTTCTATCAGCCTTCCTCATGCACAATGTTGCCGTTGAGCTACGAGGCTGCAACCCGTCGTCATTTGAGTTTGCTGCCAGCCACACACAGCGCGTCCCTGCTGCACGAATGGTTGGACAGGTGTGAACAACACCTCGTGGGGGCGGCACCGCAGGCGTCCATTGAGGGGTCCAGGTGATAGCCCTGGGCGGGCAATCCATACGCCTAGTTGGACTTCAGATCGCCCGATCGCGTCCCGGTGAACTGACGTCGGATTTGTGACGCCGCCGCACCGCGCCGCGGCCAGGGGCCCTCCGGAGGCCGAGGATGGCCGTGACGGACCGGGACGAGCTCTGGGAGGTAAAGTGTCAGCGTATATATTGTAGAGGCTGACCATGTGCACAATATCTCTCAGTCTAGCTAAGCCAGGGGAGGCTATTCTGGGCGTCCACACGGCTTGCACAGGTGACCCTCGCGACAAAGCGAGCGCGTCCGGCAGAGCGACTGAAGAATCGAAGACAGAGTCACAAATCCCGCTTGTTGTGCATGTTTTGAGGTCGGACAGTGCTGCTGTCTTCTCCACGCAGCAGCCGACGCCACCAGGCCTCGGTAGCTGAGCAGCAGGAGCCTCCTCGCTGCTGGCAGAGTTGCGCCTCTGTTTGCCGCCGCTAAGAGATCGTTGTTGCGGGAATCCAGGGAATCTAAAGGAATCTAGAATCTGTGGGTCCGAGATTCGATCTGGGACCTGAGCCGCTCGGGACCAGCTGCACATGACCCGGGGCCACTACCATGTCGCAGACGACTGCTGGATCGGCCGTCGCTCCGACCAGCCGTCCTGCAAAGGATTTTACAAAGGAATAAAATAACAATGAGTTCCTTTACATATGTAAAGGAACGCCGCACTCACGGACTCCATACCCGAAAGAAAGAGAAGGGAGCTCGCGGGAGAGGTGACGAGTGAACTACAGGTAGTGGGGAAGGCAGCCTCGATTGCCATACAGACATGGGTGCGAAACAACGACAAGACCAAGGCACGGGCAGAGGAACGAGAGAAGAATATAGGGTGGATAAAGCGCCTGTTCACGGCATGGAGGGTGAGCCACACCGAACGTACCGAGCGAAGAGCCGAACGGAAGGAGGACGGGGAAGATGACTCCGAGGAGGACGAACCAGTGGAAATTCAGTTGTCAGATGTCACGATGCATCCGAAGGGGACCCCAGCGCCGGCATCATCCGTAGAGGCACGAGTGTTCGAAGAGAGAGTGGACCTGAGCAACAACATGACCTGCAGGCAAATGATCGGAGTGGGAGTCAGAAATGTGGTCCTTGCGCGAGGGGAGCTCGATAGACTCGAGGGGCCAGGATATGCAGCAAGGAGGGCGGAGCTGCGCCGAAAGGCGAAAGAAGCCGAGAGAACAAGGGAACGGCAGGCGGCGGCGGCGCAGGACGAGGCAGAAGAGAATGACGCGACAGAGGAGGAAGTGACAAGGGAGAGAACGACGAGAGTGGGACGGCCGCGAGGTGGCATGAAGGTTGCAGCGAGAATCGGCGAGAGACTGCGAAAAGAGATAGGAAGAGGCAGACTCCCTAGGGTGGGCGACGGCTAGCGCATCACACTCCTCTCCTTAAAATCCCTGTGTGGTGGCGGCGTGCCGTCCTCCCATCCCTCCCTTGGGTTGTCTGTTTTCTTTCTTTCTTTTTAAGGAACGCCGTTTAGGGGTTAAGTGGTGATCGACGAGTTTTGAGACGCCCATGAACTAAATAAATAAATAAAACGGACACCTACTGTGAGATGGGGCCCCGCCCGCCGCCGTGCCCCGTTGTGGCGCCGCCGTGCGCGCGATGCCGCGATCTCGTTTTTGACTTTGTGTGCCGCGCAGAGGGGGTTCCGTCTTTTTTATCCATCGCGTCCGAGTCCCCGTGGGTGTGGTCGGCGAGTAGAGCCGGGGTCGTCCTCCCGATGGGGGACTAGCACTAGCCGTCTTCGGCGAAGCACCATCAAGCTCGAAGCTGCTGTACGGCCCCGGCATCGCCTCCCCTGGCTTAGCTAGAGTGAGAGATATTGTGCACACGATCTGTCTCTACAATCTACTCAATGACACTCCACCTCTCCCAGAGCTCGTCCGGGTCCGCCACGGCCATCCTTGGCCTCCGGAGTGCCCCCGGCCGCGGCGCGGTGCGGCGGCGTCACAAATCCGACCACAGAGCACCGGGACGCGGTCAGGCGATCTGAGGTCCAACTCGAGGTCCAACTAGGCGTATGCATTGCCCATCCAGGGCTATCACCTGGACCCATCAACAGGCGCCTGCGGCGCCGTGGTCACACCTGTGCAACCATTCGTGCAGCACAGTACATCCTCTTTTGCTGATCTCCGCAAAGTCCTGCTCCCTCCCTCGTCACCCCCTGCGCGTCTGCTCCACCTCCCCGTCGTCTACCCTGCGTCGTCTGGTGGCGGGTCCTCCATAGTCGGTTGAGGTCGCCGCCCTCCTCGTGCCTCTTCCCAACGTTCCCTCGGCGGCCGATGCCGGTCCACTCCGACTCCGCCGTCCCCGGGTCTGCCCTGCTCTCGTCTGCGCTAGTTTCTGTTTCGTCATCACCGGTGTCCGTCCTCTTCTTTCTCCTCTTCTTGTATGCTTTGTACATCGCGTCGAATCCTTTTGGTCGTGTGAGCACCACCCTGAAGTCCGCCCAGCAGCTAAACCGCTCCCCAGGGCCCCTTGGAGTGTGAATGAAGGCTTCGTAGCCCTGCGGTCTACTGTGAAGACCCGCAGCGCACAGGGCTGGAGCGAAAAAAAGTGGTCCCGAGGGCATAATTCCCCCACAGCGCAGACGTTCACACTTCCACACCCACAGTGCCCGTCGTCACAAGACATGTCTTGTTGGTCCTAGTCCTGTCTGGACAGTCTTGTGTTTCTGCTCGATTTTATGTCGTTTCGCTCCATCACGCTCTCGTTCCCCTCGATGCTGGCGTTCGCCGCGCTCCATTGCCTCACGCGCGCGTCCTCTTTGCCGATGGCATCGTTAAAAAAGCAAGCGAGTGACCGCTCCCTAGAGTAAGTCGAGAAGGAGCATCATCAGTCTCACGACCCTTCACACACCGTCCGCACGGCGCACGGTGTAAATAAAAAATAAATAAAACGGTCAAACTCTGAGACGAGATGGGATTTAGGGACGTGTGTCCCCGCCCTGCACGATCTTGGTGTGAGGGATCTTCAATCCGTGTCCCCTCACCCCTCGTCACAACCCGACACGGAAGAGCGGCAAGAGTTGGGGCTGCGGCTACGGCTGCGGCTACGAGAGGGGCCGGGGTCGCGGGAGAGCGGCTGCGCCGCGTGGACGCGCCTACACCGCTCTTGCTCCGCTCGCCACCTCTCGCAAAGGTCCAAAGCCATAGCCACCACCTCCTCCGGCAAGTCCTTTCGCCGTATCTCGCCGTCCCTCCACGCCTGGAAGAGCTCGTCGTCATAGCCGTATTGCATCACAGCCTGTGCTGAACTGCGTCGTGTACGACCCCTGCCGTCCTATCCTGCGCCTCGTCGTGTACGACCCCTGCCGTCCTATCCTGCGCCTCAGCGTCGGAAAAGTCGAACTCGGAGTCATACTCGGAAGCAGGCACAGACGGCCGCGGTGATTTGGCAGGCGGCGAGGAGGGGGAGGGGGAGCGCGGCGGTGCGCGCTCGTGGCTCCCGTTGGTGCCAGAAGGGCCAGTGCCCAGCGCGCTCAGTCTGTTCTTGTTCACCTTGGGAGAGGGGGGTGGGGGTCCACCTCCCTTGGGTGCGGGCTGGCGGTCAGGCTTGCGCTTGACCGCCTTGCCCGGCGGCTTGCGGCCAGGGTTCCTCATGGTGAACCTGTCCGGCATGCCGCCCTTCCCAACCCTGGTCCACTCCTCGGGCGACTCGTTGGGCTGGGGTTGCTGCACCTGTTGGTGCTGCGGGTGTGCCTGCGGTGCTGCTGCCGGAGCTGCAGCGGCGGCAGGTGGTGCTGTGGGCGGTGCCGCGGCGGAGGTGGCAGCAGGCACAGGCTGCGGTGGGGCACTGCCCTCCTTGGCCTGCTGCCGCTCCCTGTCCCTCTCCCACTGGGACTGGGGCTGGACAATGAACTGCTTGCCCATGGGCGTCGGGTTGACGCTGAAGCTCCACCAGTTGCGCTCCACGGCGAGCTGCGAGAGGATGCGAATCATCGCCTCGTCTTGCGGCGCCACCGCCTCTCCTGTGGCTTGCGCGCACAGCAGGTTTTGAGCCTGGCCGCAACGGACGGGCCATCGCGAGCGTCGGCCATGGCCCCGTTTCGCCGTGTTTCGTAAGTCATGCGCACGGTTCACGAGACTGCGTCACCTCAGCATGTGTGCTGTGTTGTGGAAAGTAAACTTGCACACATCGCGAGTTTTACCTCGGGCTCCGGGCGGCGGCGCGCGCCGGCACTTGGAAGCTGGGCGGTGGGAGAGGGAGTTGGCCGGGCGAGGGCGGCGCGGTCGCCTGCGCCTGGCTGTGCAGCGCAGCCAGCCGACCGGCGAGAACCGACACCGGCGGCGTGGCGTCGCACGGGACCGGAGGCGCCACCGTGGCAGCCACGGAGGCCGCCGCCGTGGCCGCCACCTCCTCGCCCTCCTCGAGGTCGGGGAGGAGCACCCGGAGGAGCTCGCTGCCGCGCCGCGCCGTGACCGGAGCGGCCGCCGCGCGTCCCGAGGCCGGCCCCTCGCCTGTCCCCTCCCACGCCCACCGCTCGAGCGCCGCGCCGCCCGTGTCTGGCTCCTGCCGTGCGACGCAGACACCGACGCCGCCCTTGCCACCGCCCTTGCCGCCGCCCTTGCCGCCGCCCTTGCCGCCGCCGCCGCCAAACGGCGCGGGAGGCATGGCTCGCAGCGGCGTCAGGCGGCTTCCGCCAAGCGCCGGGAGGCAAGCTCGAGCCGCGTACACAGACACGAGCCCCGGCTCCACCGCGGCAGCCTCGTCGGCCAGCCAGCCGGCGAAGCGAGGCACGGCGGCGACGGCTCTTGCCACCCGCTCGACCAGCCCGTCCGGCGCCGCGTCCGAGGCGTGGAAGATGTCCGCCAGCGGCCCGCGCGCGTCCATCAGCGGCTGCAGCGGCCGCGGCAAGTACTCGACGGCTGCGGCGGGCAGCAGGCAGAGCGCAAACACGTCGGGGGAGAGCGGCGCGGTGGCGACGCTGGGCAGCTCGTACTCTGGCCTGGGGAGATGTGGGGAGACATGGGGAGTATGGGGAGATTGCGCTTGGCCTGGGGCGGCACGCATCGCCGAGTCGCTGCCGAGTCACTGCCGAGTCAGGGGGCGGTCAAGGCCAGGGCGGGTGCGGGGAAGGGCGGCACTTGTAAGGAGCGCCGAGCGCAGCCTCCCTCTCCTGCAGGTGGCTGGCGAGCTGGCGCGCGGTCGGCGCTCGGTGCGCCGAGTACGAGACGCCGAAGTCCGGGCACGAGCCGCCCAGGTACATGGCGGCGCACCAGGCGAGGCAGTGCAGGTAGCCCGCCGCGTCGCTCGACGCGCGCGGCGCCCTCACCCCGCCGCCGCCCTTGCGATTGCAGCCACTGCACACTCTGGCGATGGCGCCGCCATTCGGGGCGGCCGGCGTGTCGCACCCCGCCTCCTCCCGCGCCCCCTCCTCCGCCTCCTCCGCCTCCTCCGCCTCCTCCGCCTCCTCCGCCTCCTCCCCGTCGACGCCATGACCGCAAACCTCCTCCTCCTCGTCGTCGTCGTCGTCGTCGTCGTCGTCGTCGTCGTCGTCGTCGCAGCCCCCACCGCGCGCCTCGGCCGCAGTGCCGGCGACCAGGGCGACGAGGAGGCGAAGGTTGATGGAGACTCTCCGCGGCCCGGGCGAGAGGAGGTGCTGCCTGCGGGACATGTCGCGGACACGTCATGGACGTGTCTCGGCCATGTCCTGCCCGGGCGAGAGCGAGTGCGTCCCCCTCCACTGCGCGGACCGGAGGAGCGACACGAGTCGGCTCCACATGCGCGGCAGCTGCGCGCCTGTCGTCGACAGGCGCAGGGGCGGCTCGCTAGGCGAGGGCACCGGGCCCGGCGGACGGGGAGGCGGGGCAGGCGGGGGAGGCGGCGCCTCGCAGCTTTGGCAGGTAGTCGTTGCCCTGGAGGAAGGCGATGACGAGGAAGTCGAGCTGCAGCCCGCTCCCGAGCCACACGCCCGCAGGCGACCCCGCCAAGCAGCCTCCCGGACAAGCCGTGCGCACCTCCCCCGAAGCCGTCTCGCCGCCACCGCCGCCGCCGCCACGTCCGCCGCCGCCCCGCGCCCCTCGCCGCCCGCTCCTGCCGCCTTGCGGCTGCCCGTTCGGCCCGCCTGGGGGGGTGGGGCGTAGCGGCCTGGGGGGTGGGGTATAGCGGCCTGGGGGGTGGGGTATAGCGGCCTGGGGGGTGGGGCGTAGCGGCCTGGGGGGTGGGGCGTAGCGGCCTGGGGGGTGGGGTGTAGCGGCCTGGGGGGTGGGGTGTAGCGGCCTGGGGGGTGGGGTGTAGCGTGAAGGAGGAGCGCGAGCGCCGAGGGCGCGCCCGACTACCGACGCTTCGCCGCTGTCACTTCTCTCCCCTCTCGCTCGGCTGCCAGTGTCGACTCACCGACCCGCCGCTCGAGGACCTGCCGCTCGAGGCAGCTGCACAGCTCCTCGACCGAGAAGAGGCGGCGCGAGCCGTCGGCGTCCGTGGTGAGGACGTCGCAGCGGCTCCCCGCCGCCAGACCGAGCAGCAGCAAGTCCGCGTCCGGCCCGACCAGCAGGAAGGTGGGCCGAGCCCCACCGACCAGCCGCAGCTGGCAGTGGAGGTGCTGCAGCAGCTTGATCTCGCCCTCCCCGGCCACGTCCGCAGCAGACAGGTAGAAGAGAGGCGGCTTGGCGCCCCGAAAGAGGCCGCCCTCCCCCGCGAGCCGCGAGGCGGCGTACCAGTCCAGAGCCCGCCGCAGCCGCAGCATGAAGCCGGTGCCGGGAGTCACCTGCAGCGAGTCCGTCCCGCGGCGCCGCTTCTTCTTCACCGACGGCGGGAACGGGCGGCCCTCGCGCTCCGCAATCTCGGCGCGGCGAAGGTACTCCTTGGAGCCGACGACGGCAGCTTCGGCGTCGCGCCCAGCCTTGAGCACCCTCTCAATCCGCCGCTTCCGCTGCTCGAGGAGCTTGGCGAGCGGCCCCGGGCCGTCGAGCGCGATGAGCACCGACTCGCGAGCCGGGTAGGCACGCAGCACGGCGTCGATTTCGCACACGATGGCGCGGATCACCTCCCTCTCGCTGCTGCGGCTCCTGCACGCCCGGTGTACGATGCCGTTGGCGTCGAGCATCACGTGGTCGTATGGGCAGGGCGGCGGCGCTGGCCGGCTGAATTTTCCCTTGCCGCCCTGTGCCGCCGGCTGCATCACGCCGGGAAAGGAGGCCGCGATCCAAGTGTTGAGGCCCTTGACGCCCATCACGGCAATTACACGGCTGGGTTGGTTCGGTCGAGCGCGAGCAACCAGCAAAAGAAACCGTTTTCCTAGTCCTCGAGAATAGCGACTAGCACACCTCTGTCAAGAGTCCCCAGAAACCCGCGAGGAGTCACACAGTCCACCTGTGTGATGCACGCCCTGCGAGCGGGGCGGGGTGCGCACTGTGTTCGTGCGTCGCCCATCTCTACTGGAGGTGACTGCTCTATTTATTTATTTTATCCCTCACGAGCGCGTCGCGCAAACCGAGTGACGGCTGACGGCGGACGGCGGACGGCGGACGGCGGATGGCGGACGGCGGACGGCGGACGGCGGACGGCTGCGGCGAACGGCGACGGCTCGGCTCGCGAAGGTGCGACTGAGCCTGCCGCGCTCGGCCACTGCGGTGCGACGCATGATAGAGCATGCTGGGCGCCGCACAAGGCGCGGGGCGGCGGTGCTCACCGGCACTCGCGGCGCTTCGGTGCTCGGGCGCGCTCGCCATTGTGGTCGTTCAGGGCGGGTCGCACAGCGCCCGCACACACACACACTGGGCAAATCGGCCGATTTCCCTCCCGCTAAATCATCACGGCCCCGTAACACCCTCCGCGCGCGGTCAAAGGCTCCCCAGGGCTGCTCCATGTCATGAACCAACAGACACAAGCAACAAAACCCGCACCTCTAAGCTTCTCGGGCACCCCGAGGCCCATACGGCGCCCCGGCGGGCCCCGGCGGAGGTCCGGCGCTCTCTCAGCATGCTCGATGCTCGAGCTTTGGACCACAGACGGGGTCAAACACTCAAACTGACCCACCCGATACATAGTCGTTCGACAACCCCGGGAGATACCGGGAGATACCAGGAGATACGAGATACGGGCAGATACGTTAGGCTGAATATACTTTTCCTCTCGCACCCCGTCTCTTTTCCTTTCCTTTTTTCTCTACAGCACCCTCTCTTTTCCTCTCTCTTTTCCCGGGGAAACCATCAAATTTTCCGGGCTCTGAGCCGAGACCCGAGTCTGAGGCTCGTTTGGGGCCGGCCCAAAATCAGCCAAATCTGCGAAATACCGGGTATTTTGCGGGTATACCTGGAAACCCCCGGTATACCTGAAAAATACCCTGGTCCCTGCGACCGCCTGGGTATCGTGCCGATTTCCTCAATTTTGCCTCAGATTTTGCCCCAGACCAGCTCTCAGACTCAGGGAAACTCGCGAGTTTCCAGAATGGAGCACCAAACACCCTCTGTTTTTCCTGGAAATTTCCGGAAACGCAAACAAAGTGCTGGGGACCCTCTGTTTTCCTTTTTGTTTGCCGGAAAGGTATATGCAGGCCAACAGATACGGGCAGATACGGGCAGATACGGGCAGATACGGGGAGATGCGAGAAGATGCGAGGAGATGCGAGGAGATGCGAGGAGATACGGTCAGATATTGGAGAGAGAGAGAGATACATCAAGATACCGCAAAAAAAAGCCCCCTTCCTCTTCTTGGAGGTGTCACGGTCCTCTGGGCGTTCATCTGCCTCTCGAGCGGCCGCGTCGCAATCCCACTCGCCGCCGTCTTGTTCGCCACCTTCGCCAGCTGGCGGCTCCTCGGCACGAGCATCACTTTTTATGACGGCTCGCGGCGCCAGCACACGACCTGCGAAGGCTCCTGAGGCTCCTGCGAGAACCATGCGCTTGGCGGAGCGCGCCCTCCGCGCGTGGCACCTCGACCTCTTCACGTACGTCCTCTCCAAGGTCTGGTTTGACCTGCTCTTTGTGTACGTGCTACGCCTGCTCCCCAGGCCATACTGCTGTCCGGTCGGCGAGTCGCCGCGCCAGCGCCTCTTCTTCTCCCTCGTGCTGAAGCAGTGCTCGGCGGCTGAGTCAACCGCCACGCCGTGCCGCGAATCAGCCTCCGCCGCGGCGCTCCTCGCCGCGGCGGCCGCGCTCCTCGCCGCCCTCGGCCTCATCGACCAGGGCGTGCAGAGCCTCGCTATGCGGAACGCCTCGGCCGCCCGGCTGGTGCAGAGCGTGGCAGGGATGTTCCTCGGCTGGGCGCTCGGCCACGCCTACGCCCACGCCATCTCGGAGGGCGGAGGCGCGGTGTGCGGCGACGGCTGGACGTGCAGCATCTTTGCCGATCTCGCCTCGGCAGTGCTTGTGACCGTCTCCGCGGCCCCGCTCGTCGCGGCGCTGCTGCGGCTAGCCTCCTGCGGCGGCGGCGCCGACGCCACTGCGGCCGAGGAGAGCAGCGGCGAGCGGGACGGCGCGGGAGGCGTGCTGCGCCGGTGCGTGTGCTCCTGCGCTCGGCTATTGGCGGGCGGGCTGAGCACGATGACGATGGTCGCTTGGGTCGAGGTTAGGGTTAGGGTTAGGGTTAGCACGAAGCCCGACGTCGGGTGCGATGGACCTCTTTGTCTGGTGGGCTGAGCCTCGCCCTTTCTCTCTGCGCGCGCTCTGTCACACACTTATGCCTCCCTCGCGTGGTTGATGGTTGCCTGGGTCGAGGCGGCGGCGAGCGAGGGGAGGACCGGTCCGCACCACCCTCCTCACGAGGCGCGGCGGCCGCACTGCAGGCGCTCAAGAGCTCCATCATGGAGACGGGCCAGCCGGTCCAGCAGCCAGGCGCGCTGCGGGAGCCTTCCGGGGCCCTTCTCGCAGCCCTCGCGGAGCCTTCTAGGTGGTGCAGCTCGGCGCGCTGCAGGCGCTGCACGAGTCGCACGCGGACCTCTGCCGCGCGGACAACGAGAGCAGCGCCGTCTGCGCGGCGCCGCAGACCGCGGAGGCGCTGCTGCGCGACGCATCAGAGTACCGGCTGCTGCTGCGGCGGCAGATTGCCCCGGGCGGCTGGAGGCTGCCCCTCACCAAGCGGCTCCTCGTCCTCTGGGCGATCGCTCTCACCTTCGGCGCCGCCGCCCCTCCCTCCCGCCCTGCGGCCAACGCACACAGCCGGATGCAGCACCGCCCGCCTCCCCCAGGCCTCTCCCTCCTCGTCGTGCGGCTCGTGCGCTGCCGCCGCTCCCTCGAGCACGGCGTCGAGCACGCGAGGCCCGCCCGTCGCACACACGCCGCAGCCGAGCCAGTGGACTGCCAGGGCGCGCCGGCGGTTGAGGCAGCGCCGCCGCCGCCGCGCTCCGCGCCGCCGCCGCCGCCGCTGCCGCCGCCGTGCGCCCGCGCCGCCGCTGTCGCCGCGGCGGGCGGGCGCGCCTCTGCGGTGCAGCTCCTCCTCCTCGTCGAGGCAGCGAGCGGCTGGGCCACCGGCTGCGCGTGGGTGGACGCGGTGCGTGCTGCGGGGCGGGAGAGAGCGCGCGCTTGGGGCCGTGAGATGGCTGCCAAGGGGATGGGGCAAGCATCCCTCCCGCCGCCCCTCCCCGCCCGCAGGTTGGCGCGCTGAGCCACTCGTTCGCTGCGCTGCCGAGCAAGGGCGCGTGGGTGCTTCCCCTCCGCCCGAGGCTGCGGCCCCGTCTCTTGCGCCCTTCCCCCACCCGCGCCCGCCCGCGCGAAGGTGATACTGGGCGACGCAGGCCTCACCTTGCTGCTGCACGCCCTCGCCGTCGGCTGGCTCGTCGCGCAGCGCGGCCGCGGCGAGGCCACGGAGGCCGACGAGGCGGAGCCGGAGGCGCGATCTGCCGCCTACAACGCGCCGAGCAGACGGGTCGAGCGGTGGGTGGTGGAGCAGGCGCCGAGATTCGCAGAGATCGCCGAGATCGCCGAGATTCGCCGAGATTTTATGAGATTTGTTGCGCGCCCCGCGATTTACCAGAACAGTAGCATTCACTGCGTGGATTTCCCGGGCGGAAACCCTCTGCAGGACTTCTTGACCGGGGCCGCCGCCTTTTGCGTCGGCTGGGGCTACATCGTCTGCTTCCGCGACTGCTCCTTCCTCCTCGGCCTCGTCTTCGGGCACGAGTCGGAGGCGTGGTCGCGCGCCGGAGAGGTCCTCTTCGCCCTCGCGCTGGGCACGCTCCTGACGGTCGCCGCCCTGCTGCTCTGGCTCCCCGCGCGCGACTCGCGCAGTCTCGCCTTCGCCGCGCTCGAGGCGGTCAGGCTCCGGCCCCGCCGCCCCGCACCGAGCGTGGCGCCGAGGCGGCGACAGCCGCGGGTCGGCGGCGGAGGGACGCCCGGCCCAGCGAGCGGCGCCGGCTTCTCGGCGTCCGCGCCGGAGCCGCTGCTTCGCGGCCAGTCGGCGCGGGCGGAGGGGCACGGGCACCAGCCCCTCTGCGCCGGGGAGACGGAAGCGCGGCGACGGGAGCCACACACCTGAGCCTGTATGGTTCGGCAGCCTCGCTGCGCTCCTTCAGAGCGACGCATGGCATGCAGCAATGGCATGCTCTGACTCAGCCGTAATCGTTGGGTAACGTCATACGGCTGTGGTAAAGGTAATCTCCCGAGAGCCGAGTAGCGAGAGTTATTGTGTACACTGTCCTGATCCGTTCGGTTTTTGACGTTTTTGTTTAGTGAGAAGTACTACAAACAGTCAAACTCAGATCCTGTGCAGTGCCCTTCTCTTGGTGTGTGACTGTGTGAGGGAGTGCCACGCGGGGAAGCACGGTGCACAGACAGAGCCCCTTGGGAGTGCGAGTGGTGAAGGGAGAAAGAGGCTTCCGCTTCGTACTAGCCCTCCGGACACCGGAGCGAGTCCGCCGTCCTCGTTCCACGTTCACGGGTCAGACCTGGAGGGCTGGAGCGAAAAAAAGGCAAGCGTCAAGCGAGTTGAGCCAGACGAAGAGATTAGGAGCAGCAGGGACCCGAGGGACCACGTGGATGACGCGGCTAGCTGCTAGTCCCCATCGGGAGGACGACCCCGGCTGGTAGGAGTAGTCGCCGACCACACCGCTCCACAAAGACCCCTGCACAAAAATCGCACGCGGCACGGGGCGGGGACCTTGTTAAAATCTCTCTCTCTCTCTCCCCTCTCTTTAATATTTATGCGTTTGAGTGCCAGAGAGAGATTCACACCCTCACAGAGCGGATCCGTTTGTGTCTGAGAGAGAGAATTTTATGTGTTTTGTTGTGTCTGCGGCGGAAGTGTTAGGAATTCCAAAAGTCGCCAAAAGTCGCCAAAAGTGGCGGCGCGTCGCAATTACCCGCCCGCCGTCCCGGCGGTCCCGCAGCTCGCGCGCATCTCCCTCTTAACCCACCTCTAACATCCCAACATGGAATTCCTACTTCTTACACAGGGGAGGGCCGAGTGGAGCCGAGCGGAGCCGAGTGGAGCCGAGTGGGGCTGAGTGAGTTGATGGAGCTGCCACACCGCACCATCTCGCAGGGGCTTAAGACTTTAGAAAACGGCGGTGATTGTCTCCGGCGTGAGCTGTTGAGATGTATTCTCGCGGACGGAAGAAAAGAGGAAAATGGTGAGTAGTAATCTGCAAGGCAATTGAGACCCGCGGGGGCAATCTCGAGTTAGGTTAGGTAGAAAGGTGAAGAACAGTCAGGCTCGGACTGGACACCAGCGCGGTATGGGTGGACGCGGGACAGATGATGACGACACGCACGAGCAACACACAGACACAAACAAGCTTAGAAGACACACAGCCATCGTGGCTGCCACACACCCTGAGTTGGCGTACACATAACTCAGGGCCATATTCTTCCTGTGAGTAATGGAGAAGTCTGTCCGCGCCTAAGGATTCTGCCTTTCCTATTCTGCTCTACTACACAAGGATTCTTGCTATTCTACCTCTCACTAGATTCCCCTTCCCAGGTTCCTCTTCTGCTCAGATATTCTGATTCTCTCCCCAGACTCTCCCATCTTGGCCCCGCTTTCAGCTTCCTGATTCTCCATTCTCGTTTCCTCCGCTTCCTTTCCGATTCTCTAGGGTAGCCAGAGCCAATTCCTGATTCTGCGCCCCCCTCCCGATTCTCCTGTCTCTCTTCCTATTCTTGATGCTCCATTTGATTCCTGATTCCTGATTCCTGATTTGTCGGATCGCCCACATTTTGACCGGGATTCTGATTCCTGATTCCGATTCCTGATTCCTGATTCCAACATTTTGACCGGGATTCTGATTCCTGATTCCTGATTCCTGATTCCTGATTCCTGATTCCTCGGAGTTACGCATTTCGGCGGGATCCTATGTTGGCCTGACTCTCCGAACTCCTGAGCCGATATTGCGTGTGCGCGGGGCTTCACACAGCTCACTCAAACTTCGCCCGCGGCAGCATGCTCAGGCGCGGGTCTCTCTGGCGCTCCAGCCTCACGTCAGCGCACTCAGCGCTTAGGCCTCGGTCCGGCGTCCGCAAAGGCGCAGTGTGTGGTGCGGGCTCTGCCCGCCCCCCCGAGGAGAGGGGGGGGGGGGCGCTCCCGCGCGGGGGGGAGCCGAGCGAAGCTCGGCTCGGGTTCAAACTAACCCTCCCCCTTTTCCCTTTTTCTAAAACTGCTCGCTGCGAGCGGCTCGCTTCTAAAACGAGCTCGCCGCGGCTGTCGCCGCGTCTCGCCTGTCTAGGCGTCGTGATGCGTGTGTGCTTTTGAGCTGGGCGTATAAGAAGAAGAAATTGAAGCACTCCTCCCATTGACTTAGTACGAGCCCCGAGACACGAGACAGCAGCCTACCCGTTCTACACCCACACCGCCGCGGAGCTGCCTAGCTGGCGGGTGCATTCACAGCGAGCCCGCGGGCTTGGAGACCCAATCAGACAGCACTCCCCACAGCAAAAGAGCAGACGTGCCGCTGTGAGCATCGCTGAGCAGCACCAACGACCGCTTGCGGGGTCGCCGCAGGCCGGCGCCAAGCTGCATCTGACGCCGGCATGCCGTTCAAACCCCGGCACCAAGCGCCCGCGGGAATGGGAGACCGCCTGCCCAGAATTAAGATCGGCCGCGCACTGCTCTGGCTCCACCATGCCACCGCCCATGAGATCTCTGACGCACGTGTGATGAGCCGCCGTTCAAAAGCGACTGTACTGTGCGGAGCGCGGAGCGCACTTCGATGGCAAAGTGGGTGGCGCGGAGGATACGGCGCGTACACATGAGCGTGATTGGTTGAGTGAGCATGCCCAGATGGCCGGCTGGCCGGGCTACCGCCCCTCGACGGGCAAAAACAGGAATCAGGAAACGAGAGTCCGGCCGGGTTGCCAAGAAATCGGCCGGCAGAAGGGAAAATACCTTTCCGGCATCCGGAGGCAGAAACCGCAACCGCGCGACAGAATCTGATAAGGCGAGAATCGGACGGACAGAATCAGATCGATTAGGCAGAAACGGAAGCTGGGTGAGGAATCCTGCCCGGAGGCTGAGTGCGTGGAAAGGGGACGGGCAGAATCAGATCGAGTAGGCAGAACCGGAAAAGGAGAGTGAGAATCAGAAGAAACGGACACGAATCCCTCTCGAGCCTCCGCATACAGAATCCTGTCTTGGGTGGCAGAATCGCTAGTGCAGAATCCTCAGGCGTGGACAGGGTTCTCCAAGACTGCTTCCTGTCCAAGGTGCAAAGGAAGCTCGATGAAAATAAAAAACGATCGACGGCGGCTGCCAAGATCTATTGGACCTACTTACTGTAAAAATGGTTGTCACTCTCGTGCGCTGCTCGTCCCGCCCTTTTTTTGGCCCCTCCTCCGCGAGCCACCCTCCTCTCCCACACCGTGCAGGAGGCGCTCGCTGAGTCGGCGCGCGAGACGGAGCACGAGGACGGAAGCGACTCGGACGACGACCCCCTCCCCGCTTCTCGCGGCCACAGCCCCTTCTCGTCACGACTCGCGCCGCGCCGGCTGGTGGGCGAGGCGTCCGCCTCTGGCGCGGGCGCAAGTTTCCCGATGTACGTTATTCGAGTATCAGACTTTCTCCGCCTCGAGCGGCTCACCACGCACAACGAGCTGCTCCGCCGCGGCCTCCTCCGCCGGCTGGACGATCACGATCTCGAGGCGCACGTCCACTTTGTCTCCCACCAGGCACGCGCAACCGCCGTGCTCCGCGTCGCCCCCCACCCCCGCCGCCGACACAACACCGACACAATCCGGCGAGGCACCCTCACACGGGGTCTCTCCCCCCGCCGCCACGCCGCACCATCACACCCGTCTCCTCCGCCGCCGCGCCGCAGTGGTGCGGCCGATCGGAGGCCGACCCGAACGGGGACCACCTGCGCACGATGCAGGGCGCCTTTCGCATGGCGCGCGACAGCCAGCACGACGAGCTCTTCCGCTCCACCTCGGCAGCTCCGCCCTGCATCTCCGCCCTCGATCCTCTGGCGCCTTCCTTCAGCCTGCTCGGACCCGCACGCATAGGACAAGCTCGCCTTCTTCAAGGGCTACTCGAAGAACAACGCGCGCTTCCTGCGCGACCTCTCAAGCAGCCGCTCCTCCCGGCGGAGCACGCCTCGGAGCACACCCTGCTCCACGCCGAGCGCCACGCCGGACCTGCGCCGCCGGCCGGTCGGGCCGAGGGAGGGCGTGCCCCTCCTCGCGGCGGCGGCAGCTAAGGCGGCGAGCGGCCGGTGCGGCCTCGGCGAGCGCTTCTCCTCGGTGCGCCGCTTCTGTTCTGGACGACCCTCTCCCCGGACCCGTCTCGGAGCCTCTCTTAGGCGAGCACTCCTCGGCGGACGTGGCGGACCGCTCCTCGTCCTCCCGCGGGGGCGGGGCGGTGGGCGGGGCGAGGACGTCCCTCTCCTCGCTCAAGTCCATCGAATCTGGCGGCGAGGAGGCCTCCCAGCCTCCCTCCCCTTCCGGCCTCAGCCACTCCAGCCTAGACTCCGGTCCTAGCTCCGGCCCCTCCGGCGGGGTGAGGAGGCGGAGCCTTCCCAGATCGACACTGAAGTCGACTCCGCGCTGCGTCTCGCCCGCCATCTCGCCCGCCGACCGGAGGCCCGACGCGCTCGAGCTGGCGGCCGTCTTCTCTCAGTCTGTCGGCAGCGGGTGTGGGGCGTGATGGCCGGACGCCGCTAGCCCGCCGCACGGCACCGAGCCGCTGAGGGGCTCGGGCCCTGCTCCCGCAGGTGGGTGTGGATGGACTATGTCTCGATCCCGCAGACGCGGGGCTGCCTCAACGAGAAGGAGCTGCGCGAGACGGCCGCCGCGCAGCGCCTCGCCATCAACAGCATCCCGGCGTACGTGGCGCGCGCAAACAACTTTTGGGTGTGCGCGCCGTCGGGCGTGCGGCACGAGGACGGCGAGCGGTGCGACTACGCGACGTGGTCGTCCCGCGGCTGGTGCCGGATGGAGGAGTGCTGCCTCGCCCTCAACAACTGCGGCGACGGCCGCCCAAAGCCACGCGCAGCCGGTCGGTATCTCCCTCTATCTCCCTCTATCTCCCTCTCTCTCCTTCTAGGCCGGCCCCTCCTCGTCACGCAGCCGATCGGACAGCGGCCGAGGGTGCAGGTGCTCGACTCGTTGGACCGGCTGACGGTCCACACGCAGCGCCGCACCGCCGTCCTCACCGGCCGCTTCACCTGCTGCGAGACGGGGCACCGCCGCAAGACGGCCGACGGGAGGGAGGAGTGCCTCCCGTGCGACAAGGTTGCGCTGCGGCCGGTGCTGAGCGCGCTGTACGAGACACAGCTGGCGACCCTCCGCTCCAAGTTCGAGGCG